CGAAAGATATGTTACTGTATTTTTTGCCATTAACTTGTTTCCAATGATTAGTATTTTACTGTGTTTTATATTTTACATTTTTTTTCACGTGTAGCCTAATTTTTCACCCTTCAATGACATTGTTTTTTTAAAACAACTGTGTTGAACTTTTTCTTGGAGCCCACAGCTCCTGGTAACTTTTTGGCGAGCTAACTACAATTTCTCTTCTCATTTCCTTAATTTTGCAGCAAATTGTGCAAAAAAGTTTTTAGACCAAATTGGTCTTTTTGTATTGTACTTACTACCTAGCGTATTAATTATATATACATTTATATATATTTTGCTTGTCTTGCTCTTCATTAACTCGGGATGATTCATCAATAGCATAGAGTCAGGATGATTCATTCAAAACTCCATAGGATCAAGATGATACTCTTCATATTTCATTGAATCGGAATGATTCACTCAAAACTTCCTGAATTGGGAGGATTCATTTAAAACTGCACAGACTCAGTATGAAATGAACCAGGATGATTCTTTTCAAACTTCATTGAATCAGAATGATTCATTCAACAACAGTCTGGATGATTCTAGAAAAGTTCACTATATGGGGTTGGATCTCGCCCTGGTTCGAAGTAGTTTTCTTGAATTGTGCATTAAGTGATTTAGTTGAGTACTCTGTTCTGTATGTAGATGTTTACCTTTGTCACTTCGAAGATTCACTAAAGTGAATGTTCCAGAACTTTAATTGGAAATTTCTGGACTTTTTGTCTGCATGCGTAATTAACTCTTTGAGTCGAATCACTTTCAGATTATCTGAGATGGACAGACCCAATTCTGTTGCTAACACTTGCAGATACTTTTTCCTGGCTAGTCCCAAAAATGCCATGTTATCGTACTTTCAATTTCCATTGAAAAGTTTGTTGTTTGTTTGAAGAAAAATTATATGTTCAGAAATTTTATGAATTTCTTAATTAACCTTGACAATTACATAGAACAAAATCATTAATCTGAGATTACTTCAAAAATGAACTAACATTTTACAAAGATTGGTACACTTACTAATAATAAAATGCACAAATTTATTAAACATAAAATCCCCCCAAAAAAATTTAACTGTGATAAATCTTCTATTAGTAATGCATGGGATGTCTACAAAATTCTAAATGCTCTAAGAAATTAATTCCGACTGTAGTTCTCTTTGAAAAACACAATTATATGTATAAGCTATTCTCAAATATTACAAAATAATAATTTAAAACATTTTATAAACATGAAGTTTGAAAATGCAGCAAGTATTAGAATATCTTTCAGAATAATGACAATTAAAATATTAATTCAAAAGAAGTCTTCTTATTAAATAAAAACAAAACAGTAGTGGCACAGTTTAAGTAATATAGATAAAACCCTTTTCACTTTTTAATCTCTTCTGTTCTCAAAGGGAAAAAATATCCGTTAATATGATTCATAAAATAAAATAAAACATAACACACAACTTATTCATAGATAGCAATGCAATTATAAAAACACTAAAGGAATTATGCACACTGGAAACATATATCAGGCAAAATAAAAATAACATTTTGCCACATAAACACTTTTCGTTCAGAATAGAAACGAAATTTTATTTGTGTTGACTTCCAATGAAAACAAAGTTAATCTCCAGTTAGAACATAGAATTGAAACACAGGAAAATTCAAATAAAAATCGGTTATTTAAAACAATGTAAGACAAAATAAATTCTTAAAGAGCAACATAACTAAAAAAGAAAGTACACTGAGCTTATGTGTGTATATATATATATATATATATAGGTATATTTTTGATTCTGTTTTGTTTTTACTACAGATTTCATTCCAACAACATTATATTTAGAATATTATATTGCTTATTAACTGAAAACTTATGTGGTATCTTTGGGTGAAGATGAAACCGATACTTCATGAAATTTCCAGAATAATCTTTGGTTGAAGACTTTGCTGCTGAAAGTAGTACCTTAAATCTGGAAAAGAATATGAGTTGATGGCTACATGGTTTTTTTCTCAACTGGATAAATCATTCAAACCCCACGTTGGGTGCCAACTGTAGCCAGGACACCATAATTCTGTGTTAAGGTTAACAGCTGAATAGAATTCAAGGAATACTAACTAAACAAAAGACTCATCTTGAGTTTTAATTCTGAAACACAATTAAAAAACATTACACTTAAGGACCTAAAACTTATAAGGACATTATAATTAAACATTGAAGTTACAAAATAACTCTCGGGGGCAGAACATTATGTTTAGTACTTTATTCCAATACACTGACTGAAAGGCTATTTCAGGCCGTTATTCCCTACAGCGGCCATTAGGTGGTGCACTTGAGAGCCATGGGGTTACACCAGTTAGTAAAGTCAGAAACCATAAAACTTCTGAATTAAAAAAAAAAAAATCTTGTTTGATAAATAAATAGCATAACATCTGGTCATATTTGTTTTCTATTGAGGCAAAGTGTTACATAGTTTTCGAGATTTAGTGTAATGATCCAACAAAGGCTGATACAGAAAAATTGCTTTTTTATGCAACATAAATGAAAAAAAAAGTGAACAAGTATTTCGAGAACGCAGTATTTGAGTGTTAGATTTTTGATAAAATGGAAGGCCACTGTCAAAAGATTAAGGATGAAGTCATTGATAATATTTTAAATTTAGCACAAAAAGATTTTGATTGGGATGATGATGATGTAGAACACATTAAACAAATTTCTTCAAGAAAAATTTTAATTTAGGAGAAAAATATTTGAAATTTTTAAAATTGCGAAGTTATGTAACTTATCAGTATTGACAACATATGATATGGAAAAAAATTCATATCAGAACATCTTAAAATTTTAAAACAGACTGCTTTAAAAGTAGATGTCTAAAAAATACATTTTTAAAATTATATAACTCTTTAATGCTTTTTGTTCTTATTTTCTTTTTATCAACATTATCTAATTCATTTTATAATATATTTTAATTTGTTTTTTTGCTAATTCTACCATTTTTTAGTGTAAATCTGGCCATTTTTCTTTTTTGACCTGAAACCTGCTGAACACTATAATTAATGCCAACCTCTAGTATAAAGCTGTGCAGATTTTTAGTCTTCTTCTGTATAACAGTTTATGTATCATTAAGTCTTAATATATTTGCTGCCAAAGCTGATATGGTGTATCCATCCACATGTACCAAAATTCTGTCTGTTTTATTATTTAAATATGTATGTGTAACAGATTACTTTTAGTCATACATAAATTTGCACGAGTATACCGTAGTCACCATATGAAATAATATTTTTGCTGTGTATGCCTCGGAATAACTCGGAACTAGGTAAATAATACCCATCCATTCTGCGCATTCACACAAAAATTCATTATTTTCCATTACTTTTGTATGAGTCACTGAATCAGAATTTGAACAGTCTGCTTATAACATTTTTTAAGGTACACCCCCCTCAAAAAAAGTTTTGCATTCTAAACATTTAGTTATGTTTGTGTTTACATTTTCAGAAATAAATGATCCATTTCAGTATGTCAAGTGTATTACAGTCAAAAGTCGTTAATCCGGACTCGTCGGGACTTCGGCGATTCCGGATTATCAATTTTTCCGGATTATAGATCATCAGTTTAAATCTGGTAAGATGGCATGCAGAAATTACAAAATTAAAAATATGAAACCGTAATTTATGAAATAAAGAACAATTATGATCTAAAGGGTATCAAAATTTACAAAAAGAAAAAGCTTAATATTTATTTGTTTACTTTATTAAACATTTCCTTCAATGTAAGTTGCTTCGTTTCATGTGATAATACTTTCTCTTTAATTCTATTAAACAGACATAATTTCTTGTTTAGTTACAAAGTTCCGCTGTTCAAGTCCTATAATTGCTGTGTTGAGAATACCGACTAATTTGTCAATCGAAATGTTTTCGTTTTCAATATACCTCTGGGTCACTTTCTTCACTTCTCTACTATCGGAAGCGAATTATAATGACGAGGAACTTGATTTAAAAATCATATCAAAGACAGAATGAAAATACTACACTTAGTATGGAATTATAAACCCAAATAAAAAAAAACATCTGCCCTGAAGATAAGGATAGTGCTGACAGATAAATAAACTTCCAATGCGCTGCGTTAAATTGATAAACAGATTTCGGATCTCAAACATACTTTCGCTCTGTAGATACAAATTACATATTAGTAAATATATATCGGAAATTCTATTGACATACATAATCTTTCTAATCTATCATAATCTAATAATCTACGTTTCTGTTTCTGCCCCCCCCCCTCTGCCGCAGAGCAGCATGAAATTGATAAACAGATTTCGGATTTCAAAACATACTTTCGCTTTGTAGTAAATATATATCGGAAATTCTATTTGACATAATCAAAAGTTCAAGCTTACTTTTATAAAATTGCTCTAACAGTCTGCAAAAAATAATAAGCCGGACCCAATCCGAAGATTAAGGAACACGCAATCGGCAAACATTAACTGAATTAGATAACTTTAGCTTAGCGTATAACTCCGTTACAATTTAAACGCGCATGCGCACAAACATATTCGCAGCCGTAAGGGTCTTACGCGCTCTCGTAAACGCCTGTGCGCATGCGCAGAAAGTTTGTAGCTTTGAGGTCCGGATTATAGATCATTCCGGATTATGGGTGTCCGAATTAACGACTTTTGACTGTATTTAGTTCCTTTCTGTATGCCAAACACCTAAGCATTGCATGCATTTGCTATGATAGTTCTCTGTACTTGGTGATTTAGGCAACGCAGTCAATGATGAGTTACCTCCTAGCTGGCAAATAAATTCAGTTTGCAAGTGTTCTCCTAGATGATAGTGAATGTGTTAATTACACTGTCTTTAGCTGGCAGTTGTTAAATGTAGGTGAGAACCTTGAAAGAAGTCATAAGTACTTTCAGCCTTTAAAAATATTAAAAAATTATTAATTTATTTCTGTTCAGCTGATAATTTTCTTTTTAATTTTTCTTTTAGGATTATCTTCTCTTGGCTGGGAAGTTGATGCAGCATGCAAAATTGTAAAACCAAAGAGCTTGGGTAAGATTTTTATTTGTGTATAATTTTAATAGAATATATTGTAAAATCTCAAATCATTACATTTATCTTTTTTTCTTTTTTTAATTTTCAGAGAATAAAACTGAAGAGTGCATTGCGAGTGAAGAGCAATTGGGAAAACTTACGGATTTTGTAGCTTTTCTCGAAAATTAATTCATAATCACTTCATCACTGAAGTTATAACTGTATATTTTGTGTGATATGTTATTTTCTGTCTATGAAAGCCGAATCACTGTACATTTTTAAAAATGCGTCAGGATTTTTAAAATAAAAGTTGAATAAATATGGAAGGAAAAAAAACTAGAGCTAATTGTATATTGAATTATCTTTGATAAAGTGGTTTGTTGTGCATATTTTAATTGCTTTTAAAACTCTCAGTATTTCCAATGTTACAGAATTTCCCCATATAAATTCAATGTGAATACTAAACATTTTTTGAATAAAATGTGAGAGCGAGTCAAAATGTAAAGGAACCATGTAGTATTTCTGCTCAAGTGTTTTTTCTTGAGAAAAGGTGAAATTTTCTCCATGTAAACATAATATAATTCAAAAATATGTTAAAAAAACAAAAGGAGTTGTTATTGATTTTGGATTTACAGGGTGGAAGCTATGAAAATGACTTAACCTCTAAGTGCATGACCGCCTTTATTCTAGTCATGGTATTTTTTGCCATTTACTTATATGAATATTTTTTTATTATCTTTGATGACCTGAATTTTAATGAATGAAAGTTTATGAAAAAGTGATAAAATAATTATATGAATTTTGCTAAAAAAATAGGTACTCTTCTGTTATCTGCACCAGATTCAGAAATGTATGCATGTATGTGCGAATATGTGTTTGTGTATATGTGCACATACATAGTTGTGTACATATATACATGCATACATGAACACATCCATCCATACACATCCATCCTACATTACATTTCTGAATCTGGTCCCGATAACAGAGAAGTGCCAAAAAATGTTAAATGCTAACTTCATAAGGAGATCCAAAAAGCCATGAAACTCAGAGGATTAATAATTTGAGATTATATCTGAGATTATATTTTTATTTTTATTAATCTAGTGTTCTAAATATTCTCACTTATTATCCACAATTAACAGTTACTTATCTTTCTGAGTATATTTCTGAATATTTTTAATTAAATATTTTCAAGCACTATTTTTTGCTCACTTGCATTTTTGTTTAAATAAATAATAAACATATAATTTACACAGTTAAAATGTGTATAAAAAAATATGCACTAATATTATTAGCCAAAAGGAGCATTAAGCCCAAAGGGCTACTAGTCTCAAAACGACATTTTGCCACCTTTCACTTTCCGTGTTGGTTCACTTTTCAAATTGTTGCCACCAAATATTACTGCCATGTGTTATATTTAAAGAAAGTAAATAATGAAGAATCTGCATAAATATTTCTCGCATTGTGAAAAAACAACTGTACCTAGAGCCATCAAATTTTGAATAATGTAGTCCTGCAAGCAAACATGGGCTCTTGGAAGCCCAAATTTTGAATTTGTTTCATTATCTATTTCAAAATTTGTAAAACTTTAACAAATTTTTGACTAACAAACTTAATGATTTTAAAGCGAGCAATGGCAACACTACGAAGAAAACATTTTTGTCTCCAGCATGCGAGACTGTGTATCGGAAATTCTAAAGATAGGCTGTTTTGCTGTTTTTAAATATTTTGTGATAGTGCTGTTGAATTGAATTTTATGTAGTTCAAGTGCAAAGAACATTATATTTAATAAATAAAGGCAACACACAAAACATTAAAAAAGTCTTTTTGGATATAATATAAAATTTTATTATATAAAAATATAAATTATATATATATATTTTCTTTTTTTCTTCTGTGCTTTTTTTATTTAATATTTTTTTATTACTTATCATCTGGGAAAGACAGGAGAGAGAGGGATCAACTTTTGCCAAATTACAAATTTGTCAATTCATGGGGCTATTACTAATTCTTCATTATATACTAAATGGCTGGCTGCTAGAGTATTTGTTGTTTCATCATTACTTTGACTGTGGAAAACACTTATTGTACTATTTATTGCTATAAGGCCCATGTAAAATTTAAATTGTTCATATTTTTATTAAAAGATATCAAGTGACTACCATTTTGATAGACTGAGAACATATTTATTTGATTTATTTTTTTAAATGAAACGATGGATCTTCATTCTTCAAGGAATATTTATTCACACAGTCATTTGGAACTGTGCACTAGTTCAATTGCAAAACATTTTAGATTCAATACTATGCATTGGATCAAGTGCAAAACAGTTTAGATTTATACATTTTGGCTGTGATTTGAAAAGATTTTCAGCATCTGCAGTTCATTGTTTTATTTATTTATTTTTTTGTAATTTATCCCTGGAGGAATATTGTTCCGTCTTTTCGGTAGATAGGTGGCGCTCTTGATGCGCACCGATGAAAAGTATTTCCACTTGACGCTTAAACTTGAAGAATGACGCATGTCATACCCTTTTGATGCTTGATTATGTTCTCATGGCCGCTATAGGTGGAAGTAATATACTATATCATTAAGTTTATCATTAATAAATGTTATTTCTATGTTCTGTGAAATCTTGAAGTTGATTTGAAATTCTAATGCTCTCCCAACCTGTTTCCTGAAAACGAAATCAACTTAAGAAATTATGACTCATGAAGAGACACCATACAAATATAAAAGTAATCCTTTCATAGTAGTATTCATATCAGAATCTAAATAATCACAAGTAGATACAGACATTTGAAACTTCTAAATATTTCCCAGTTTGTGCATTAATAGTTAAATGATTCACTGCGTAACTTCATGTTGCACATAAATTTAACATTATTATTCAAAATTATTTTCCTGTATGAACTTTCTTATTTTCAGCATTGTTATACTATCAAATTTGGGATATTTTCCTCTTAAATATTTGCAACATTAAGGTGGGTACTGCAGTCACATAGTTTTGGGAGAAAATGACAGCTCAGTATCTTTCATATTTCTACAAAATACTATTTAGCTGTACCTCAAGGGCAAACATGTGGATTTTTATTTTACTCAAAGCTGCCTCCAAACATGTTCTTAAATTTAAAGATTAGATTTAAGATGCATGATGTCAGAATACAACATGATTCATTAAATCTCGCTTAACATTGCTATTAAGCATGCTATGATTATGGCCCTTAGAAAACTTAAAATTTGGTGTGGACATTTTCATATAGTGTACGTGTTAATAGATAGATATAGAACAAACACTTAATTACAACATGGGGAAAAAAAAAAAAAAAAAGAAAGAATATAGTTTACAGTATTCAGTTACCATATAACATGCAACATCCATTATCATAACATTCTCTTCCTTCTATAATCTTGACACTGTGTCACATGAGAAAAACTGCGAAAACAACGAGGTGCGTGCTGTTGACTAAAGTGTGCATGTGTGGTATTTATCATATCATCACACACAGTGTATTATAACCATTTGTAATGAAGTTATCAATGTTCCAAGCATGCCATTAAATTGTCACAATTTTTCTGGGATATTGTGTATGTTATGTACATGTAGTTATTGGTATGAATATGCATATGCATTTAAAGTCATCTTCCTTTACAAATTATTTAAAATATTTATTACAATTAAAAGGTTGTACACAAATATGTCATTTACAGCCCATTCTGCAGCAAAGGTTTTGAAACATTATCACAGATATGTGGTTTCACACATGTAAACACAAATACATCATTTACAGCCCATTTCATAGGAAATATCTGAAACATTATCACATCTGTAGGATTTCAAACCATCTAACATATATGAAAAAAAAAAAAAAAAAAAAAAAAGTCAGCTTTATGTGAAAATGATTTGCTACATGCATTACACATTTGTGGCTTCTTACCTCATCAGGGGTGTAGCAAGGGGGAACATCTGTCCCAGGGCACAGGATCCAGGGGGCGGCAAATTGATGTTAAGGAATTTTAGAATGAAATGTTTTCAATTCTGGGCACCCTCCTATTTGCGCCCCGCAAAATCTTCAGTTGTCTCCGGGCACTGGTAGGCGTAACTACGGCTCTGTACCTCATAGTAATACATGATGTACTTGTAAAGATTTGTTTCTAAATATGACACACATGACTTTTTTCCAAAGAAGTTACAAGAGAACATCTTTACTTTTCTCCTCTCTTTATACGTGTCTTGCTCTACTTGGAAAGCTTTAGCATACAGAAAATTACTTTTTTGTGGCTAAATTTATGTGTTTTCAAGGTACATTTATCTGCAAGCATATTTTATTCGGTGAGTTAAAAACTAACTTGCTGATACCAGAATATGCAACAAGAAACTGCAGTCTGTTATTTTAAAATGGGTCTTTTAGGGTTGGAATTCTCTTATGAGACAAATCAAAAGCAGGAAAATGGCCTTGATCTACTGCTGCTCATTCTCACATGTGACTTGCCAACCACATCATATATGAGGCAGAATGATAACGAGGAAATATCTTGCTGCATATTTAACCCTTCATAAATTTTTACTTTGGTAAATATAAACGCTCTTTCTAAAAGTAAATCTCTGTAAATAAATGGCTAGATAAATCAATCGAATAACATAAATTTCGTATCGAAGAGGTTGTTAGGAACACATATTTTATTTCAATGCATGTGCGAGCATTTCATTACGTGTTACAGTAAGGAGTATTAACTTCTATTGCATGAGCAATCAACTATAATTTCCTTCGTAGAAATAAGCTATTATAGGCACATGTGTTACAGTAAGCTTGAGCATATGTATGTTTTGAAAGGAATAATCCAGTTTTTTTTTTTTTTTTTTTTTTTTTTACATTTCACTCCTATTCCCCTTTTTGATAAAAGTGATAACTCTGTTCTGTATTTAACAGAAGGTAAAAATATATTTTTGCTAAGAAATCTTAAATTATTTTTTGCAGCCGGAAATTTCATAGGGATATTGTGAAAGTTGGGATATTTATAAAGTCTGAGTGCTATTGATTTGCAGTGTTCAAAGAATTATAAAGAAGAACGAAAAGCGCATTGTGTTGTATCTCGTATAAAGTGCAGAATACCGCTTCAGTCCGGCTTGTTAAGTGGTAGTGTTCACTTCGCAAAAGTTGCGAGGCAGCTCAATACCGGCGAAATAAAAAGAACAGTTCTGTATATGATGATGTGTGTGAAATTTTTCTAATATGAGCGAAAGTAACATTTTGAAAATGTTTAAGCGAAAGATTTAAGCAGGTATTTAATGCAGCAAGAGAAAACTGCAGACAAACAAAGAATTTCCCAAACAGCACTAGGTAATTTACTTAAACATAGAATTATAACTGATAAAGAAAAATAACTGATGAATACCTAACAAAGGATTATAATTGACGAAAGACTAATGAATAATGCAAATGTTTCAAAGGGGCCCACCAGCTGCCGAGCGGTGAAATCGCTGAAAACTGGTAGTTCGGTCCGAGGTTCGAATCCTGCGAAAGGGCTGGCTGCATGGGCGTTTTCGTGGTTTTCCCCATGTGTAACGTGTATAAGAGCCAGTTCCCCTTAGAAAGTCCTCCACAAAGGCACCTCTCCTCTTAGGCAGATAGTCCTCGAGGCTTTGCCATATTCACACACACACACAAATGTTTCAAAGAAGCGCAAACATATGGTGGGGCGTTTTGTTTCTTCAACATCTATCGAAGAATTTGTTTCCTAAGGCAAAAGAAACATGGATTCAGAAATTAGAATCGATTCCTAATTTAGTGAGTGAGCCCTCTTATTTAGAGCTCAAATTCGCTCCTGTTAGAATTACCAATTTATCTAAACAATTATGAGGTACCGGAGACAGGCTCCGGCGCAATTAAACGTTTGTATATACCTAAATTTTCATACGAATTCTATTAGTGGAGAATAATTATAAGTATAACTTGTTTATATCATAAAATATTTTCCTTATCTATCGTTGCCATAGTCAGCCTTTCTCCGGTTTGAGCTGCATCCGTGTTCTGTTTCACGGAAGTCACATATTTTGTGCTTTTGGGCAAAAAGTCTACTTTTGAAGTGCACCAATCATTATTGTTTTCTTGTTATTGCTAGCATTGAATGTTATTTATTTTATGCGGTAAGATTTGTATTTCCATCTCGTTAAATTGTACTTTTATTAATGCGTATTTACTTATGATTATACAGCATATTGTAAATCTTGTAATAAATAAAAATAAAGTGTAAAATTAATTTTGTGCCGGCTATTTTAATGTAATTTTCGTACGGTGCAGACCGAAATAATAAATTAAGTTTAATATAATTTGATTCCTCTTATAAGACTTAAACTTATTGCCTGATTTTAGAAAATATTTTAGTCACAATAAGATTAAAAGTAAGAAACCAAGCAGTACAATGAACACATTAAAAGTGTATTGTCATGTAATGAATTTTATTAACATACATCATAATAATTATATTCAGGAGCAGGTCCAAGCATAGCGAAACAGGCATCCGCCTAAAGCTTCTACAGCTAAATTGTTTTTCCTAAACTGTTTACGGACGCCAGCGAAGTTATTTTCACTAACGACAGCTACCCATATTTCACTTTAAGCTGACAGTGACCTTAATTTTTAAGGGGGGCAATTGAACTCATCGCCTTGAGTGCTGAAAGTGTTGGAACCCGGTCTTATTATCTCATATCCAAATAAATATATAAATAAAATTTGAAAGCCTTCAGGTTTTTTGACGTTTTGTGTTATTACCCTTTTTTTTATTAAATATCATGTTGTTCATACTTAAACTGTAAAATTCAGTTCAACACCGGTATCACAAAATATTTAAAAGAGTATATCTTTAGACTTTCTGATACACAGTCTACCCTGCTGCAGATAAACATGCCCCCCCTTGTACAGTGTTGCCATTGCTCGCTTTGAAATCGAAAAAATGCTTTACAAAATGTGAAATAGATAATGAATCAAATTCCAATTTTTGGCTTCCAGATGCCTATATTTGGCTGGAGACATACATTATTCAAAATTTGATGACTCTAGGTACCAGAGCTGGATTTAGACTTGATAAGGCCATAGGCTATTTGAGATATGGGGATCTTTATAAGTGTGTTATACTATATTTAAATTTTTTTGGGTGGGCCCTAAGCTATAACTATGTAAATACTGCACTGTTAGGTACTGTTGTTTTATTACCGTGTGAGAAACATTCATGCATTTATGCAGATTCTTCATTATTTTATTTCTTTAAATATAATACTGGGCTCTAATATTTGGTGACAACAATTTAAAAAGTGATTCACTGTTTATAATGAATCAATGCAAAATGCCAAGATGAAATTAATAGCCCTTCTGGGCAAATTGCCCATTTGGGCTTAAAAAAATTGTATTATATATCAATTGTAATGCAAAATTATGGCTTTGTAGTTATATAGTAGACCAAATTTTGTCTCTGTAGGCTTTTCATTGTGAGAAATTTTAGAAGAAAAATTCATCAGAGAAGGAGAATCTGTATTTCACATTAGTTGTGATTTGATGAATTAAAAATTCATGAACCTATTGGTGAGAAATGATTATTACTAAGTGGAAGTGTGGATAATTGCAAAGTATCGGTGTTTAGTAACTGAAGATTACTAAAGATTGGTATTTTCTGATTATTCACACTCCCACTGAAAAGATGGCAACTTATTGAAGCGAGACATTAGTTTGGGTATCTTAATGTCTATTTTCAGTTTTTTTTTTTTTTTTTTTTTTTTTTTTCCATACAAAACACACACACACTTCTAATTTTCTTTTTTGTGCTGTTGTTCTCATGTATATAGTGATCTATTTTTACTAAAAAGCAGTGTTTTCTGATTATTCATACTCCTATCTCGAAAAACTGGCAACTTATTGGCGACTAATTTCTTACCAAGTGAATACACAAAAGATAGCTTCCATTTTCAAAATAGTGGTGAATAAGAATTCCGGGTACGTACATTTTAATGAAACCACCTTAATAGAAGTTTTACGACTTCTATTAAGGTGGATTACAGAATTTTGCTGAAAATTTTCTGAAGGGCACAATGAAGAAATGAATTTCTTCGATAGCAGCTGTTGCTGAGGGTTGCATGAATGGGAGTCTGCAGTTGTGTGATATTTTTTTGAGAGAAAACAGATCACTATGTACGTTGGAAGAATATTTGAAGAAGAGTGTAAGTGTTTTATTTTTTAATGTATTACATAAGCATTATTTAATCATTCAAATTTTGTATTTTAAACCGCTAAAGTATGGTTTCTTTTCGTATGTTGATAATGTTTATTGACTTGATAAATATTGTCAATAAACATTATCAACATATCAATTGACTTCATATGTTGATAATGTTTGTTGACTCGATACCTTGGGAATCTTTTTATACATAAGGCACAAAAATTCCCAACTTGCATCCGATAAGTAACTTTTACTATTTCATCTGTAAAAATTGCCAATTTACGCCAAGGCGACTGACTGTATTAATACATAAGAACTGAATTCTGTGAATGAGCAGTCAATCAATAAAATTAAAAAAGCAAGAAACATCCATAATAAAACTTTAACTTTTTCAAGAAATCTTTATGCATTGTATTTTTTTGTTAAACAAATCAGAGAATGCACTAATTCAGCATGGTGCACAACCTTGACATTGTACATATTTTTATTCTGCCCATGTGCACAGTGATTGATTTTTGCTTAAAAAACATCAGACAATTGTACAAACTTTTCATTGTGATGTCCATGTATACTACAGTCTATTTTTGTTTAAAAAAACACAAATTTGGCATGGCATATTGGCTTGATGTCGCATGCCCCTTTTCGTTCTCATATAAACAGCAATCTGTTTTTGCTTAAACATCAAAGAATTGCACAAATTTGGCATCGCATGCATTGTTACGAGGGCAGTTCGATAAGTACTTAGCCTACAAAAGAAAAACGAAAATTTTGGAAAAGTGGTGATTTATTTCTCAACATAGTCTCCTTTCAACTCGATACACTTGACCCAGCGATGCTCCAACTTCTTTAACCCGTCTGAAAAATATGTTTTCTGGAGGTCTGCAAAGTAGGTCTCTGTGGTATCGATAACCTCCTCATTCGACTCAAATTCCTGGCCGGCAAGTGACTTTTTCAAGTTTGAAAACAAAAAGAAGTCACACGGGGCCAAATCTGGAGAATACAGTGGATAGGGAGCTGTTCATAGCCTAATGCGACCAATTTGGCCGTGGCGATGGCGAAGGTGTGAGCCGGTGCGTTGTCATGGTGGAAGAGCACTTTTTTCTTCGCCGAATGGGGCCATTTTTTCTGCAATTCGAGGTCGAGTCGGCCCAATAGTTCGGCATAGTAGAGCCCTGTGACTGTTTTGCCCTTCTCCAGGTAGTCGATGTAGATCGCACCTTGTGAATCCAAGAAAATGGTGGCCATCACCTTTCCGGCCAATGGGACAGTCTTCGCCTTCTTCGGAGCACATTTGCTGGGTAAAGTCCACTGTTTCGACTGTTCCTTGGTCTCTGGTGTGTACCAGTGAATCCATGTTTCATCAACGGTCACGAAACGACGCAGAAACTCCTTCGGATTGCGCTTAAACAGTGTCAAACACTGCTCTGAAGTGGTCTCATGGATGCGCTTGTTGTCCGGAGTGAGCAAATGTGGCATCCATCGAGCCGACAGCTTTCTCATGCCCAATATTTCATGCAGGATATGACCCACGCGGTCTTTTGAGATGCCTACTGTCTCAGCTATCTTGCGCACCTTCAATTGGCGGTCTGCCAATACGAGATCATGGACTTTTGTCACGTTATCCTCCACGGTAGCCGTTTTTGGGGCACCTGGGCGTGGCTCATCAAAAACTGACGTGCAACCACTTTGAAACTCGTTAAACCAATTTTTGACGGTCGCCATTAAAGGGAAAGAGTCACCGTACACAGCATCCAAGCGCTGTTTGATTTTGCTGCGCGATTTCCCTTCCAAAAACAGAATCGAATCACCGACCGATATTGCTCTTTTTCCATTTTTCTAAAATCCGCGGACACGCCTGCTTCTACACGTGGTCAAAACAAAACTACAAATCCAATATGGCCGAAATTCTGACAATAGCCGTCTACAAGGATGTACTACACGATAATAAATTTCTCTTACGATAGTGGCTCCATCGGGCAGTGAAGCTAAGTACTTATCGGACTGCCCTCGTATATTCTCTGAATACACAGTTCTATTAAAATAAATCAGACACTTGCACAAAATTGTCATTATACACACTGTTGTTCTTCCCATGTACATGGTGATTTCTTTTTTCTTAATGCCAGAGAGTTGCGCAAATTTAGCTTAGCACACAAGCTTTATGTTCTGCTCACTGTTATTTTCCTCATGTACATAGTGATATATTTTCACTTAAAAAAAATCGGAGTATTGCACAAATTTGGCATGATGCACAAGCTTGAGATTTGCACACATTGTTTCCCCCATGTACATAGAGATTTGTTTTCATTAAAATAATCAAAACAAATCAGCACAAATTCTGCATTTATAACAATTTTGAGAACTTGTGAATACTTTTTAAGATATTGTGAATAAACAAGGAAGAAAAATTTGGAGAATTGCATATAATTTTGCCACCAAAATCCTAAAATGGCAACAATAAAAATAATTTATTATGCTCTGATATCCAGAAGGCTTTGAAAAGTGTTCAAAGGACAAAATGGTCATTTTTTGTAGAATAGGTAAAAGTGAAAAAATGCAGTTACCTTCTGCAGGCATTGTGGCCTAAGATGTTATATGGCCACCGTGCTTTGCATAACAATCTGAAGAACATGCTGACAATACAAGGCATTGAATATTCTCATTCTCTAGACATCGACTGTTTTATGACATATTGGGTTATCATCCATGAAAAAAAAAATATCATCAATAGCATCACGGAACATAAGAACGTGAGGCAGCAGAACATCATTAATGTATCATTGGCCAATCATAGTTCCAGCTGGAAGCACATAGAGTGAGGTACAATGGTTGATCATGATCCCAGTCCATACCATGATACTATATGTAGGATAATGGACACTTTCCTGTATGTTTGCTGTACCATTCTAATGTCACATAAGTTGTTGTCAACAATCAGATGACAAACTGAACTAATTTTCATCCTAGAAATTTCCAATATACCATTAGTTGAAATAGCTATACAACTTGTGTTTGCTCTGGGAAGAAAAGTGTATCTGAGCACAAATGGGAATTGTTGGGTTACACGCTCTTTTTGTTACATACCACATGATTAATTTATTTATGGTGTTAGAAGTTAACGTCTGTTGAGTTTTTTGAACCAAAGCTTTCTTCTAATGAATAGTAACTAGATGGTTGATTAGAATGCTTGCATGAGAGAAGTATGCACTAGTTCCTTATTATTTTGTCCTAATGTTAAAATTAATAGATACAACAATTAAAAATTGATAAATATTAAAAATTGATAAAATATTGATAAATTAATAAAAATTGATGAAAATTTATTCAGAAGAAGAAAAAATAACCTGGGGTGTGCCCCCATCCCCCACACATAATTTAATTTTGGAGGATTTTGTTACGAAATTTGATAATGCTTTTTCTTGCAATTCCTGATAATTTGGTTTCATCTAGTACAGTATAAAGTTCAAAATCTGGAATTGATGGGACTTCAATGAATCCAGATTTGGGAAATTTTTCAGGTTTTAAATCATCAGTTTCAATCTACTAAGACGACATGTAAAAATTATGAAATTAAAAGTATAGAATGGTTGGTAGTAAAATAATCTTTCTTTTCAATTTTATGGAGAGATAAAGTTTCTTGTTCAGTTCCAAATAGTTCAAGTTCTGTAACTGTCAAGAATTCCCATTATTAAATTATGATAATTAATTGAATTATTCTAATTAAATAATAAATTGAAATTTTCAAAATTCTTGACAATTTCTTTTTCACTTTCTTTGCAGTCTGTGATGATATTTTCCAAATAAAAATTTTATTGCATATTTTGCCATCTGTTAATTAATTGATGATTTCAGTTTTGCCATTGCAATGAAGATTTGTATTTATTTTGTCTTTAACATTTCGCTGCATTTCTTTACATCTTCCATAAGCTGGGAAATTTTGCAATTGTTTTGTTTGGCATATTTCATTGGCACCACATGTCATCAGTTTGGTTTAACTCCTTATTTTAAACAATCACCTTTTTCATCTAATCATAGTTCCTTAAAGTATAAAATAATAGGTTTTTATGATTTGGTGTTGCAAAGAGATGAACCAGCAACTGTGCTGCTTCTTCTGGAAAGAGAGATGCTTCGCAAAGAAAGACTGTGTATGGGTAATCGCCTCGTGAAATTAAAATGTCATTTGAAGCCAAAATGGTGATATTTTCTGCCAGTTTGGCTTACTACAGATTTTTGTACCTGTTAGTTGATTGGTGCAATATTATTGTAATGGAAGACCTTCAGTTTTATCATCTTCACTTAGCATTTCTTTGCATTTTTCACATTCCATTAGTTAAAAAAAATTTAGCTTGTCGTTTATCTTTCATGTTTGCAACTATAATTTTCATTGTGATGAAGTATAGTAGCTGGTAATAAATTATTTCAAGCATTTTTAAAAATAATCTGCAAAGACACACACACACACACACAAAAAAAAAAAAAAAAAAAAAAAAAAAAACTGTCCTTACATGACCTGTTAGTGCTTTCCACCACATATTTAATGTGAAAATATATTTCAAGAATTCTTGGATGGTCTTACTACTGCATTAACTTTAAAAAGGCTGCTTAATAATTGCATTTTAGTGCCTGCAAAATTCAATCTTGATTAGCTGACTGATGGATGTACAGTTTTGAGAAGATAGTAAGGGGGAGATATTATCTTTTATTATTAAAACTTAATTTGGATTAAATAATAGTAATAATAATATACTGAATAAAATAATAAGTTGAATGAATTGAGAAAGTTAAGAAAGAGAGTAATTTGAAGCGAAAACGAAACTTGTATTAATCCAAATCTTTCTCCTTTCTTCCCTGCTACACAAACAAAACAAAACCAGTATGTGCATCTTTCTACTTCAATGGGAAACAGAACATTTCTTACAAGAAAGTTGTATGGGAGGTCTGGTTAATAGATTATTCTATTTACATCTAAATTTCAGATTTTTTTTCTGTATTTAGCCAAAGCTGTGAGGGAAGAATTAAAAATGCACCATACCACGCATCGAATCGAAAATGCGTGGTAAGGTGTTAACTGAAAAGCCCCCAAATATTTTATATTTTCATGCCTAAAATTAGTCAGTATCCTAAGTTGAACTACTCACAATTAAATAAGCTGTAACTTATTAATTGATGCTGAAATTTATAGTTTTTAATTTTCATTGTGTGTATATGAATTTTAATTTGAAGATAAAAATTAACACTAAAAAAAAAAAAAAATACATACATGTATTTTACAGTTGAACTTCGTGAAGGAAACTGAAGATCTGTTGTTATGAATATTCGTGTTTCATTTTATACTTAATGGAATTTTAGAAAAAAAAAATAATGATGTCATAAAAAGTGTAATGCAGAAGATTTTGGAAAAATGAGGATAACATTAAGGTCTGTATTAAATGCTTATTAAATGCACCATTTTTTGTATTAATATATCATTTTTAAAAGATATTTTAAATAGGATAGTTTTCCATTGTTAACATGCCTTCAGAAAAGCTTTAGAATATTGTAACAGCTAGTTGCTGAGATAAACATTACTTTTATTTCTGTCATTAAAGAATGTGAAGAATTTTTTTGTTTATTTTCAGGTAATAATAGTATAAAATGTCAAAAAGTATATTTGTTTTAATTATAGTCTTTACATTACAGGTATATAATATTTTTCTCTCACCATATATCATATTTTACAAATTTAATTTTACCAACTTATAAACATACATTGAAGTACAGTAAAAGTCTGAGTATCTAGCATTCAATTAATTGGAATATTAAAAAATTTTAGAAAAAAATTTTCCACTGAAAAATTTAGTAGATGACAGACTGGTAATATTATTAACATACATACATTGTTGCCAAATAGTGTGATTTAGCACCAGTAATAGTTAAGCATGATGCACAACACAATCATAAGATGTTGGTTTTGTTTTTAATGTAAATCCGATTAATTCTTGATAAGCTGGTTTAATTTTTGAAAAGGAGCATAAAAGTTCAATTTTTTTTCACATTTTTTTTGGGGGGGGGGGGGGGGGGGGACAAAAAAAAAAAAACTTGGGTCTGCATGAAATTGAAAAATTGAATTTTTTTAAAGTTACAGTATCCGGGCATCGAAAAGAAGCCACAATACTGGACTTAAAAACGCATAAACAATGGCAGTGTAACAGGAAACTTATAATAAGCAAATTAAGTTTTTTACAAGCTATATAGGTTTGTTGAATAAGAATGAATTCATTAACAGTATACTGTAGAGAACAAACTTTTTTATATAAATTAATTTTATTAACAAGAGAACAGGAGTGAAACAAATGATTGCAAGTATTTGAAATTAATCAATTTCGTAACTTATTTTAATAAATTTGGATGAATGGAAATATACTTCACAGAGGAAATCTTTTTAATTAACTATGAACCTATTTAACATTCTAAACATATAGGGGGAAAAAAATTATGTGCGTTATCGTGCTCAAAGCATATGTAAAACAAAATATCATTCACTATATTATAATGAACATATTAAATTATAGTCTATTAATTGAGTTCATGCACATTCCTTATCATCCTCCCACCATGCAGTTTTAGAAAATTGCAACATATTCTCTACTCAGTTAAGAGATTCAGTCAATGAAGAACTTTTACATGTCTTCCAATCCTAGTGGTTAAGGATCTGTCTATTGTAGGGAACTCGGTCAGAGGCTCAACTATTCTTGATGTATCAATTTGACCATCCAGAGCTGTTGGCAGTGGGAAGGATCTTCTATGATCTGCATCTTGATCTGGATTTAACAAGACCTGAGGCTGAAAATGCTGAGGAAGCTCTGAGGGACGAGTCACTTCTAAAGGATACACTTGGCACTTTGTCAATTTAAGAGTGCCATTGACTTGACGATACAACCAAGTAGCTATAAGTGCTTGAAACAATTCTAATCTAGGGATAGTTACTTCTTTAGCAGGCACTACTCTTGATTTACATAATATCAATTGTACTGAAGTTTTGCCCTCAAAATATGCACATAAGAAAATGCATGCCGCATAAGATACCTTACTAGCATCACTAAAACAATGTAGAGTGATAAAGCATTCATCAAAGGGTCCAATCACTTCTTGAGATTTTACAATAATTCAAGAAGTGTAGTCTTTTGAGCCAAGCCTGAAATTCTCTTTCTATACGTTGTGGAAGATTTTCATCCCACGAAAGTTTCATCTTCCATGTTTTTTGCAAAGGAAGTTTCGGAATTAACATAGTTGGACTAGTAAATCCGATGGGGTTGAATATCCTCTGTGAAGCTGACAGCTGAGATCTTTTCATGTGGGCACTCTCAGAAAATGTCAAAGGGGTTAAATTTCAATAAATTTCATCATACTCGGTGTCTCGTGAAAGTTCCAGAATTGGAATTATCTTCTGATAGGAAGTCATGATTCTCCCTTTGAATGGTGCAGCAGTCCACCCTCTAAGGTCAAAACCTCCTGAAAACATTAGAGTTTGGGACTCTTCTTTGAACTTGACTAGTTCCTCTTCGGTTTCGAAACTAGCTATACAATTGTCGACATAAAAGGATTTCTTCAATCTAAGTGCCTTTCCTCTTAAATCTTGTGCAGCATTATTCAAATGGTAGGAAATCATTGCTCTCAACAGGAATGGACTCGAAGTGATGAACGTGACACGACAGTATCTGTAGGTAACAATTTCAGTTTGATTTGAATCTTTCCACCACATGAATTTCAAAAAGTCTCTGTCTCTAGCACACAAACTGATTTGTAAGAAAGCTTTCCTTATATCGGCAGTAACACCAATTGCATGTTGCCAGAATTGCATCAAAAGTTTTGGAAGCATTTCTATTAAATTCCGCCCCTTTTCGAGGCAAGTGGATGCATCGAATACAGGTTGCACTTTCGTACTCAGACTGGTATCCTTGATTACTGCTTGATGAGATAAATAGTGACCAGTATCACTATTATTCGAGGCTATTTCAATTATACCTTCCTCATGCCAGCCTTTAGTAATACCATAATATTCTTCGAAATACCAGCAGTAATTTGTCGCATGCAAATTGAGATTTTAGCTGCTTGATAGCTTCCTTATAATTCGCACCTGAAAGGGAGGATAACTATCTATGAGCTCTCTTGTTGGGGATCCAACAACATTTGCCTGCAATAGGTACTGAAATTTATCATCGTCATCTATATTTACATCTTTGTCAATCTTCTTAAACTGTCCCCAAAATCCTAACCAATTTTGGGTCTACCCATTGAATATTTGAAGCTCCAACTTTGATAATTTAAATTTCTTCTTCATGGAATTTTCTAAAGTTCCAGGTGTAATTACAGGAGTGAAATTCATCCTTTTGTTTTCTACTTTTATTCTTAAACTGATATATTTATCATGATGTGTTTCATTCGTTTAAAAATCAGCCAAATATTCACTTTAGTTTCCACTTTTCAAGAAAAGTTCGGAAATTTGTGATTGAACTTCATCTAATCTGTTGAATTTACCTTATAATTATGAGCTCAATACTTGGAGTTTGTTAATCTCCACGTCAGGCTTTAGAATTTTGCATCTAAAGTATTGGCAGTAATTGTAAATGATTGCCTTAGAGGTTTACACTTTCGTAATAAAATTTCCATGATTTTAAATTCATTATGTCCAAGGATATAATCAAATAAATCATAAACTCACTTAATAAATTCCAATATTAAATCGATGTTTCTTTTTCTTCAAATAGTCATTCCATCCTGTCGCAGATGCCACAAAACATCTCTTTTGCCACAAAAGATCTACATTATAATGAACATATTAACTTGATAGTATATTAATTGAGTTCGTGCATGTTCCTTAACAGCAAGTTTCTTTTTACAAAAACAAATTCTAATGTTTATTTTCTCCCCCAAACTCTTTTACTCTTGTCACTTGAGCAAAAAAGAAAATCGTTACACAAAGAGTTTGACAGGTCGTGTTTCAGTACTGCAAATGATGTTCCAACATACCCCCTTTCCAGTGATAGTATTATATACCTTGTATTTTTTCAGATATGCCTGAAATCTCACTCTTTGACTAGTTCTTGTGTTTCTAGAGTCAACATCTTTGCAAAGTGGTTTTGAGATTTTGGAGTTATTGGTCTCACATGTCTGAAGATTTGCTTTTACTTCATTAATTTGAGTTTGAAAAATGGTTTCAGTCTCTTTGTCTGAAACTATCCCAATAAAAAAATTCTCAAAACATTATTTAGCTAAATATTCTCTATGGTGGGTTGGTTGAAGAGAAGATGAAATTATGTTATTGAAGATGAGAATATATAATATATATATGAACAGTTTGGTAAGTCCTTATGTACAATCCCCCCCCCTCTGCTGGTTGTTGTAGTTTTAGATTTTGTATGTGGCTTTTCAGTTTTTGTATAAAATCAGAATACTTAACAGTTTGAGATTTACTGAAGAATTCTGCAGGCAAAGAGATAGGTGTGCAATACACAAGTTCAGCAGAAGAACAGTGCATATCTTCTTTAGTGGATTGAATGAAAAGAACTAAAGGTAGAACATCAGTCCTAGAATTTAATGTTTGAAGGTGGAATTTCAGTCTATTTAAAGTTTGGTGCTGGTTTTCAATTCATTAGATTGTGAGTGATAAGTTGTGGGACTCTTAGCTGTGAAACCTAGGTTTTAGCTCAAATATTAGAACAGCTGGCTTCCAAGTTAGATGTTATCTCCCGTAGTATTCCAAATCTGGGAATCCAGGTTGCAACAAGGGCATTTGTAATGGAAGTTTGCTTATGTATAGCGAAAAACATTATTTTGTGAAATTCTTTAGGAATGTATGGCCAGTTAAAGTTAGTGGAGGTATCACAGTAAATGTTCTTATTGCTATCTGTAATAAGAATTTGTACTACAGTCAAAAGTCGTTAATTCGGACACCCATAATCCGGACCTCAGAGCTAAACTTTCTACTGCACATGTGTCGCGTTTACACGTGCACATGTGTCGCGACTGCACGTGTCGCGTATACGACTGCACATGTGTCGCATTTACACGTGCGCGTAAGACCTTTACGGCTGCGAATATGCATGTGCGCATGCGCATAATACGTTTACGCTTGCACATTTAATGTATAACGGACAGTATAAGCTAAGGTAAAATTATCTAATTCAGTTAATGTTGCAGATTGCGTTGTTCCTTAATCTTCGAATTGGATCCGGCTTATTATTTTTTGCAGCTTGTTAGAGCAGTTTTATAAAAGTAAGCTTGAACTTTCGATATTTGTCAAATAGAATTTCCGATATATATTTACTGATATGTAAAGGATCTACAAAGCGAAAGTATGTTTCGAAGTCCTTTCAACAAAAAGTGGAATTGTGGGAAAAAATGGATAAAGGCATATCCTTTGTTTCTTAACCAATCCGAAATCTGTTTATCAATTTCACGCTGCTCTGCAGGGGGGGGGGGGACATCGCGGGACGCAATGAACTGGAAGTTGATCTGTCAGCACTATCCTTATCTTCAGGGCAGATGTTTTTATTTTATTCAGCTTATAATTCCTTACTAAATGTAGTATTTCATCTCGGATGTACTCCGTCTTTGATATGATTTAAATCAAATTCCTCGTTCATTATAAATATCACGAATACACATCAAAGTAGTTTTCTGGTTGCCATTTTCTAATTTCGATTATGCGTAATGTATGCTTTACACATGCGCATGTTGAAAGAAATGTTTAATAAAGTAAACAAATAAATATTAAGCTTTTTTTTTTTTTTTTTTGTAAATTTTGATACCCTTTAGATCATAATTGTTCTTTATTTCATAAATTACGGTTTCATATTTTTAATTTTGTAATTTCTGCATGCCATCTTACCAGATTCAAACTGATGATCTATAATCCGGAAAAATCGATAATCCAGAATCGCTGAAGTCCCGACGAGTCCAGATTAACGACTTTTGACTGTATTTTGAAACTGAAATTTAATTTAAGAATTTTGAGATCTTCATCCTCCTTCATTCTTCATTCTCCATTTGCAGTAATTGTATAATCAATTGGAGGTGGAGTAGTGATAATTTGATAGTGTTTCATTTAAGTTCTGTGATGTTTTCTTCTCCAAAGGTGCTTACTTTTTCTTTAAAGCCCTTATTTTTTGTTTTTAGTGCTTATTTTTTGCTTTTAGTGCTTTTCTTAATGAACGCACATTTTTCCCCTGTACCAAAGCCGAAACTAAATAAACAACTTTTCTTCCTTATATGGAACGTCAGATGGGGAATTATACTCCCGGAAATAAGCTTTTCCCCCTTTCTCTGCATTAACGTAACCTATGGTGCACGCGGGAGTACAGACAGGTGCACATCATTCTATTGGTCAAAGAATTGCGAAAACCGTAGAAAATTCCAGTACATTCGATATTCTTTTCCTCCCACCCAAATACTACACATGTTTGAATTTCTATCAAGATTTTAATAATTTGGATTCTCGTTCCGCGTGGTCAGTTCATATTCATGTTTATTATGATCGTTATGCTTATATTATGAGCATATGTGTGAATATTTATAATAATATAGTTGCAGTAGTAGCTGCTGAAGTGTAGATAAACTTCCAAAATGGGTGCATTTTTACACAGATTAGCTTTCTAAAGAATAATATTCGGAATGGCTTAAGTAAATAGAAAGTATCGAATAGTCAAAATATAATTCCCCCTCCTTTTTTTTAATCCCAATACATTATACAGTACGGAGGTTGGGAGGTTCTCCCCTTTCTCCGCAAAATCTCTAATATTGAAGCAGCAGACTTTTTTTTTTTGTCACTGTCCAATCTGGATGGAATAGGACTAAAAGTTTTGCGGTCTACCCAATCCAAGCGAAGAAAATTCTATTCCGGAAATTTAACATAGTCTGTCCAAAATTAGAATTAAAAATACCCCAGTTGAGTCTCTTTCTTTTCCTTTATGTAGTTCTTATTTTCCAAATACCAGCAGCTGTTGATTCCGATTGCATAATATCACGGATGGAAGAATGCACGTATTGCGCAGTAACGTTTGCGGTATTTTGCAAAGATAATTAATTTAGATGTTCAGTCTGAGATTTATTTATGAACACTTAAAAGAGTTTGACTGTGCTTTCTAAGCAGAATATTTCTCAGTTTTGTTGGTCTATTTTTATATGATGCACATATCGAAATGTCAAAATCATTTATTTAGCCGAGAAATCTAAAGAACGGCTAAAATCTCCCCCTCCTTCTTTTCAGTTACACTCGACTGTACGGAATATTTGGCAATTTCCAAGTATGCGGGTTAGTTAAGCTTTTACTGTTTAAAGGATGACAGCATGAAGCAATTTTCCGTCTCTGATTTCAGAAATGTTCCTTTTTTTACTTAAATACTTTGCTTGGAATATATGTTAGGGAAAACTGTTATGCAATGAAAATTTAGAAATGTTCAGAATTTTGATTTAAGTTAAATTATTTAAATAATAATATGAGTGGAAAAATAAATTGTATTTATTATTAGGTGCCAAGCGAATACAATTAATATTTCATCATTAAATCTTGTAATATAGTTTAGTTCTGCATAGTTTTTTTTCTCTCATTCTAAACTAATTCTGTAAATTGAACTGTCATTTAAAATTAAAAAAAAAAAAAGTTCATTGTTTTCCATGGTTGAGGTAATGCTCATTCTCTCAATAAATATTGCATTGCTCATATTTTAAATTGCAAGTCTAATTTTTCTTTTAAGGTTATGCCATTGTGTATAATGTAATTAGACAGGTGCTTATTTTTCTTTCTTAAAATGTGCTTGAAAAGTGCTTATAAGTGCTTATTTTTTTAACTGAAATGTGGCTATGAACCCTGACTGTAGCTTGGGAGCTTTCTTAACTTCATCAGCTTCTGTATTAGCGAGCTGTGGAAAATCTTCGGGCTTCTTTTGGAATTCTGCTGGTTTCTTTGGGCCGGGCCCACCAGCGGCCGAGCGGTAAAATCGCTGAACACTCGTAGTTTGGTTCGGGTCGAATCCGCGAACGGCTGCTGCATGGGTGTTTTCGTGTTCCCCACGTGTAACGTGTATACAAACCAGTTTCCCTTAGAAAGTCCTCCACGAAGGCATCCCTCCCCTTAGGCAGATAGCCCTCATGTGCTTTGCCATAATTAAATACACCACACCTTTGGGGCGGGTTTCTGTTCGAATATTTTCTTTCTCTGTAGCTACTTACATGGTTTTCTTTACAGAAAATACACATAGGTTTATGTTCTTTTTTCTTCTGACATACTATGTTGCTTCGGTGAGGCAGTCCACATTTGCAACATCTTTCATGGTTTGTGTACAGGTGCTGGGAGTGCCCCCACTCCTGACACCTGAAACACTGGATCGGTCTCTTTCTGAGCTTGTATTTTTCGATGACAATATTGATGCTAAACATATTATTTAAGTTGTGGATAGCATAACCATTTTTGCTTTTCTTCAATTCAAGAAGCCAAATTGGTAGTTTTTCTGAGTTATTTTTGGCACTCCTGCAAAACTGCTTCACTTTCAGGATTGGAAACTTTCATCTTTCTAGATCTGCAAAAATTGATTCTTCTGAAGTTTTGTCTGGGAGATTTTTCAGGATAACTTTTAGTGGCTTTTCGTGGCTCATGAGATAAGTATGATGGGATATGCTTTTCGTTTTTGTGAGTTGGAGAACAGATTTATAGTCCTCGATTGATTTTACATTTACGAAAATTGATTTCATTTTGACTTGGGCTTCAAATTCTTCTTTGCATACTTTTCTAATTTCTTGTTCAAGTTCTAACCATTCAACATTTTTTTGTTTGAATACAATAGGAGGGGGCACTTCATCTGGGTTTATTTCAGTTTCATCATCAGTTTTAGCTTTATCAAGACTTTTGAAGCAGTTGCTTTGGGGAATTTCCATAGGTTCTACTTGATTTTGCGGGGCCTTTGCGGTTTTCTTTGGAGAAATCCAGGGTTCCTCTGTCATTGGTTTCTGCATTTCATGAGAGAGAGACTACACAGTTAGTAGCTATATATACTAGGTAGCATAAATAGCTACTAACTGCGTAGTCTAAGTACAGCTGAACTGCGATTGGTTAGTTTTAGTTCCCTTTTTCAAGCAGCATTACGTAACATGGAAAGATTTCGAATTTGGGAGAACAGATGAACTTTTAGACCCTAAAATCTAGAATAGTCAATTTTGAGGTTGCCAATCATTTCTTAGCGTAGCCATTATATTTTATTATATCTATATATATATATACATCACTTATCACACAACACACACACACACACAAAAAAAAAAAATAAAAAAAAATAAATAAAAAAGGATCCTTAAATTAAACCTGTAATTTTCTTTAACACTGCTGCTGTGATCTTTAATTATATTGCATTTAAGTTTGTATTCTCAGTAAAAAAAGCTGAAAGTTAACAACGATAACTATACGTACAATTAAGTAGGGTACTTTTATTTATTAATTTTATTATCTTCCAGCCTTTTTCCAATTAACGTCAAACTGTCTTAACCATCTGAATGCCCAAATTCATGTTTATATTATTTTAATCATTAATATTTGGTTTGGTTAGATAATAAAGAGTTATTTTTACTTATTTCATTGAGATACTGAGTAAAATTTAATTCTTGTAATCTGAATTCATATGAGAGTCATCTGTGATATCCTACAAATAGTAATAAAAACTAACTATATGATATGGTTTTGTTTATAGTAAATGAATATTTTATTTGATATTAATTTTTTTTTACTTTGTTCTTCAGAATGTGTATGTATTTGCATATTGTTATCTTTTAGGTCTTGTGTACCAGAAAGACGTTTTGGGAAATCGATCTTTTTTTATTGTTTTTGTGCAGTGATATTCAGTGTTGGATTCTTTTTGGGAGTTCTGCAAACTTCTGGTTGGTGCAATGATAATTATGCTATGGATCATGTTCACGGGACCATGAAAGCAGATATAAGTACTAAACAGATATCTGCTTATCTAATAGTCATAATATTTAGTTCTCCAAAAAACTATGAAAAGAGACTTGTCATTCGAAAAACTTGGCTTTTAACTGGTGGAAATCATAGAATATTACATTTCTTTGCTATTGGAACAGCATCTTTAAATTTTGAGGAAAAACACAATCTTAAAAATGAACTTAAGGAGTATAATGATTTGTTACTATTAGACTCTGTCAATGATTCATTTTCAAAATTATCAGAAAAATTACGTGAAATTTTTCGTTGGTTGGATAGCAAAGCTCATTATACATTTGTGTTGAAAGTAGATGATGACAGCTTTGTTCGTTTAAATGCATTATATACTGCAATGACCAAGCAGCCACAAGAGAAATTATATTGGGGCTTTTTTAATGGTCAAGCAAATGTGAAATTAAAAGGTAAGTGGGCTGAAAAAGATTGGTTTCTTTGCGATCATTATTTGCCATATGCATTGGGTGGAGGCTATGTATTATCAGCAGATTTGGTTCATTATATAGTATTAGTGTCAGATATATTATCTATTTATCAGAATGAAGATGTAAGCTTAGGTATTTGGTTAGCCCCTTTTGAAATTAAAAGATTGCATGATCCATTGTTTGATACTGAATTTCGTTCAAGAGGCTGCTTTAATTCATATTTGGTTACACATAAGCAAACACCATCAATGATGATCGAAAAATATAACAATATTGCAAAAACTGGAAAACTCTGCTTATCTGAATACAGGACAAGAAATTCTTATGTATATAATTGGAATGCACTTCCATCTCAATGTTGTATCAGAAATGACACTAATGTTCCATGAAGCCTGATAATGTTCTGAGAAATGTGTTATGTTATTAACAAAAAGCTTAACAGTTTTACTTTTCAATGAAAGTTATATAGAATTATAAACTATGCAATAAATTAATATTTCTTTTAAAAACTCTTTCAAGAAGCGAGAAACATTTATTTCATTTAGTATTTACTGTGTTTTTAATGATCAAATTTATTATATAATACATTTATGCATAGTATCATGTACAACATTTAAATCTTTTGATCCTCAAACATTTGTTTTGACCTGAATATAGAACTTATGAATGCATTTTATTTTATTGGTATCTGAAGCATACATTTCTTTAGCTAGGTAGTGGGAAACAATAAATGTTGTTCCCTAAAATACCGATTTCCATGACTTAAAACTAGTGTATTTTCAGAACTGATTATACAGCTCACAGAACTTACCAGTGTCTGAAAGTATAAAATAGTAGATCATATAATGTGTTATAAATACAAACCACTTCTGAATTGATAGCCCACACTGATGTGCCATATAAGTTGCCAACATTGTTCCTATTTGCATAAAACAGTTCCTTTTGGAACTCTCAATCTCAGATAGGCCTTCACATATTTGCCAAATAATAGCCAACATTGTTCCTGTCTAATTTATATTATTTCTGTATTTTAAAATTTTATTTATTTATTTCTAATAAAATTTATTAATAAATTAACTACAGTAAAATTTGATTGACCTGTTCTTTAAGAATTCACAATACTAACCTTTAATTGCATTATGGTAATTTTATTACAAGCAAGATATGTAGAATACATAATAATTTGTATGCATTATGTTCATAATAACAATAACAATTCAGGTTTATTATAAAACAAATTTCAACTGCTTTAATTGCTTTTTTGAAATGCAATTAATTTTAATATGCATTATTTTTATTTTTGAAACATTTCATCAGCTGTGCAATGTAATACACTTCTTTATTGCTTATTAAGACTAATGCCAAAGGCGAAGTTTTTTTTTTTATCCTTGGAAATCAAATTATATTATTTATTGATTGCTGTAGCATTAAAGAAATCTGGCAATTCTAATTTCTAAATACTCTCATTGCGATGCATTTTGTTTCTACACGTTTGCTAGCTGGTGAATGGGTAAAATAAGTGAACCTTAGTAGTTCTGTCATGATTTGAGTTCTAGAATGAGGATTTCAACGCATTTACACTACAGTTTGTGTACCTTCATAAGTCTTTGAAGCAGCTTTTTTATGTAGCTATCATGATAAAACTACTTACCTTTTACCATTTTATTGGAACCTGTAATATATCAGCAATTGCTTTTTCAAAATCTCATTTTGGAATTAATTTATTAAATATATTAAAATTGTTCAGAATGCTGTATTGATTTATACAGAATTTCATCTGCTAATCATATAATAATAATCTCTGAGATCCCAAAGAGCTTATACTTTTGTTCTTTTCAGTTACTTAATTTGTAATAGAAATAGAGCAAATTCACTTAAATTCTGTTTGTATGTAAATGTAATTAATTATTTCATTTTGTATGTAAATAATTATTTCATTTTGTGATGTGAACCTGTTTATTTATTTTTTACTTTATAATGCTAAAAATAAACGCATTTCCTTTTGCTTGTGTTAAACTTCTTCCTAAAAACATACAGTTAAAGATAAAACCACGTTAGGTGAAATATTTGATCATGTAACTCGGAAAAACAGTGACTAAATGGAAAAGAGTTTTTAGTGAATTTTGTTGCTTTCAGTAATTAAAAATATTGCTTTTACGAATCAAAATGTTTTGCCAAATTAATCTAATTAAATAATTTAAACTTTCTTTAAAAGAAGAGTTAATAAATTTAAAAAAAGAAAAATATTTCAATTTCATTCTGATGTTCAAGAATTTCCCTCCACTTTAGAATACATTGCTTCATGCAAGATGTCTCCATCCTCAATCCACATATTAAAACTGGGAAGGAGAAGAATAAAAAGATGTGTGCAGGCAATGTTGAATTTGAAAAGGAGAACTAGCTAAGTGATTTTTACTGTTGATTTGATTATTTACGTAAATGAACTGATCTTGAAAGCAAGCCAACCTCCATTAATAAATCACTCTTAAAAAATAGTATCATTCTAAATAAGAGTAATAATTTATTTCTTTACTTTATCTGAACACTCATGTAAACAGATAAATAAATATGCAGTAATGATTGCCATTTAATCTGAACAATTTTAGGAAACACCAACTGGCTTTCACTATGTTTGCTACTCCGTGCTCAAGGGACTTAAAATTTACATGCCAGTGTGCAGTAAATATATGTTAAACAGAGAATATTTATTAGGAAACACCAATTGGCTTTCACTATGTATGCTACTCCGTGCTCAAGTGACTTAAAATTTACATGCCAGTGTGCGGTAAATATATGTTAAACAGAGAATATTTATTAAACAAATTTTCATAACTTATATCTGTTTAAATAAAAGAATTATTTCCAGCACTTGACGAATATTTCTTGTTCATAGCATCTCTCTTTGAAAGCATGTATAACAGTGAGGAGCATTTTTCCACATCAAGTGTACAAAGAGGTAAATAAGAATTAAAAATTAAGATAATTTTGAATGCATCCTTTGGAGTCATCGTTTTGTCTCGTACATTAGATGAAAATGCAGTGGTATTCAAAACTAGATTCTGTATTAAAATTAAATATTTTACAATCCTATGTTAATACCTGATGAATGCCTCTTGGATTAAAATGTATATATAAATTTTATAGGTGACTTTGTGGTCATTAATATATATTAAATTTTGTACATAGCACTTGACATAATTTTTATTGACTAGACGCTCCAAAAGGTTGGACATAATTAGCTTAATGTAAAATGTTGGAGTAAGAAGAATAAAATTTGAACCATTAAAAAAATTAATAATATGGGTCAACCTTGTTTATAATAGGCAAACCTTTTGGCCTATTCAATTTTCTGTTGTTTTATACAGTTACAGATAGCGAATTTACAAATATATGGCAATCAAATATGACAGACTTTGTGGATATCTTCAACTGAAACATTTATTTTTTTTATTTTTTTACAAGTTTTAACTAGAAAATTATTAACTATTAAAATCAAAATTCTATCAGAGTTTTGTCTTCTGAATGTTTTTTTTTTTTTTTTTCTTCTTCCTTAGATTTTCTGCAAGACTTAAATCCTTTATGGACATTGCATCTTTTCTTTGGAACCATAAATATCTTAAAGGAATTTAATGTATTCTCACTTATCTTTTTAAACCTTAATAACGATGAAATTGTTTTCACTTTTCATATTTTCTAGTAGAGAACAATTTACAATATTCTTTTTCTGTGTTTAGTCTGTATTGAGGAAATTTTCAGTGTGTGTGTGTGGGGGGGGCATTTATTCTATTGTGGTTTATGTGCTTTCGGCAAAGTAGATTTAATTCAATCCAATAAGTTTAAATGAAATGCAAGAAAAAATGCGTATAATTTAATATTCCGTACAAGGAAGTCATGTGGTGTACACATCAGATTTTTTTTTTTTTTTACTTGTGCCTTAAGGTAAGAGGTTTTGGAGGATGAAACTATTGTGCAAGCTAAAAGATCAAGAAGAGATTTTTCATTACAGCACATAGATATAGTAATAGGCAGATCTTTAATAACATGCAATCTACTTAATCCAGGAGTGAAGTTGTTACCCCAGATCATAATTGCAGTTAAGATGCTTTATGCTTCACACTGTATGGTAGATTTAAATCTCATTTTGTTGCCATCATATAAATGTGACTTGTTTGACATCATGGAAACTGTTTAATAAATCTTACAGCACTGATTTGTAGCTCATCCTATGTGATCATGCTGCTGCTTGGTTGTTTTTTTCTTAGTAACTGGCCAAGCTGTATGTGACTGTGCAAGATTTTTTTAAAAACCCTTTACATATATATATTGTGCATTTTGAAACGTGTCCAAAAATTTTTGCAGTACATTAGAATAAAATGAATCTATGTTATAAAATAGTAGTGGTATTTTGGAATTATAGCTGAGAAAATACCTCTTTCTCATGACATTTTCGGAACCAAACACTTATCCGGTTGGAAGTTACAGAAAGGCTTTACATGGGTTTGTGGGTTCATAAGTCATTTAATTAGAGAGCATAGCTACCACTTCTTTCATAATTTTTCATGGTTATCATAGCAGTCAATGATCATTTTCCAAACCATTTGCAGATATAAATCACTTTAGTATGATTGACTGTTAAGGGATTATATTAAAATAATTCATGAAATAATTATACATGACAGTTTGGCAGCATGACATGTCATCAATATCTAGCACAAAAATATTTGCACATTCTGACCAGAGGTATACAGGCTATACTGGTCAAGACAGCTTCACACATATGACAAGTCTGAATAAGACTGATTAGATTAAAAAAAAAGGTAGCCTCACATATATAAATATGATATAGTAGCAATGTTCTAAAGAAAACTAGATGGTTTAAATATCATAATTTAATGCAAAATTAAGTAAATAAATTGAATGACTAAATTACTAACAGCACGTTTTCTGTGGACCTTTGAGCTACCTTCTATCCTTAATACTCCTGTTTGTGAAAATTGCAAAGTAGGGTATGATATACAAATGATTCCAAATTCACAGTATATGCCTGCTCTGTGGGCTGTCATGATAGCTGTATAGATAGAGGGGTTGTAACAGAGCATCAAAAGTATTGTTTTATCTGCCATGGGTAAATATTTCATAAGAAGTCACTATACTCTATAGAAGATAAAAAAAAAACAAATAAAAGCATTGTGGACGGAGGTGGTGAAAAACCAGTTTGTGAAAAGGATTCTGTTAGCGTGGAATTGCAGTTCACGTGGAGCATTGATACCTGGCCAGTGAAGCCTATGCAAAATTAATGAGCTCAAGAAAACTGTGTAAATCCCAAACCTGGCACAGTGGCCCACAAAATATTAGGTCAGAAAGGATTACAGACACCTTATTTGCATGACAGAGATGGATCTTGCTGCTTCATCTCAACATTTGGTGCAACACTATTACAGGTATGCCATTGTCAGCTTCAACATTTCACTGGCATCTGCTGTTCTGTGGATTGTGTGTATGCATTCCTTTGCACAGGGCTGTCCTGATGCAAAACCACTAATATCTGCAGATCCTGATTGGCAACAGATTTTCTTTCCTGATGAATCCCACTTCATTTTGGAATATGGTAATGACTGAATATGTGTTGAATGCTATATTGGTAAATGTCATGTTACTAACTGTACTGAATGATCACCAAATGTGATAATCTGAGGTGTCATTGGATATGAGAAAACTTCTCAACTGAGAATTAAAGGTTCTCTTAGTAACTGCTATGCTGGGAAGATTGAATCCAGAGTTATTTCTTTCATATAATGCATTCCTGGAAGTGTAGTTCAACAGAACAATGCCAATCTATACGTACCTAGAAATGTTTAAGACTTCTCAGCATGTTGGACACCACTTCTTCTTTGGCTTGTTCATCCACTGGACATGCAACCAACTGAACATATCTGGGATTTAGTGAATCAGCAACTCTTTTGTAGTGTTCACTTTGCAGCCAATGTAGCTTTGAGAGAAGCAAGATAGAATGGTGTTTTTGAGGCATATGTGTAAATTTGTTTGATTTAACTGACAAGTACAACTCTTATTGCAGGGCATACGAATACCAATATTTGGCATTTAATATTTTTGTATTGCTCTGTAAATTGAATTACTTCTTTGCACCTGCAATAAACTTCATTTAGTTCATATTTCCTTCATGATGTTGCAATTTTCATAAACAAGAGTATATTTCAGTTTCTTTTTAGTCCAAACTCTGAAGTAAAATTGAAATATGGATTGAGGAATCAGAGGTAATAATATTCAGTAAACTTCACTTTTCAATTCGTTAAGATTTCATAATCCTGAATTCATCAGGTTGGTAAATTTTTAACTTTTACAGTATTATTCTCTCTTGTGGGATAAACAGTTAGCATAACTCGATGTACTTGGTCAGTGATAATATTTAAATGCTGTCAGACATTCAGATACTGTCCCACACAAATAAAAAAAAAAAAAAAAAAAAAAAAAAAAAAAAATCAAGCAATAACACTGGCTGCATTAGCTTTAAGTATTGTTACAATATGCTTGTAATTCAGGCTTTCATACTATTTTCTCCATATTCTTATCCCACCATCTACCTGGTGTATGGAAAACATTTACTTGTCCATATAACTCTTTTCCATTATCAACTGTTTGATTTTTGCAATCTAGCACAAACTAGAAATTGTTGATTTTGTTAGCTGCAGAGCAAAAGCTTTCAGACTGTTTTCACTTCCATTCAAAGATCACTTTAGTTGGTCCCAAATTAAGATTAGTTGTAATTTAACCCGTCTATTAAATTAAACAAGTTGGTAACTCTCCTTTCAGTTCAAACATCCAGTAAGTGATAATGTTAGTTCAGTAATGACCACAAGTTTTAATCTGAGATTGTTTTTTTTTTTTTTTTTTTTCTTCCCTTAGCAGTCCACTTTTTGTTAACATGAACTACAGTTTCTCTTAAACACTTCACAAGCAGATTGTTTCACTGATGTTCACTCTACTACAAACATAACATATTCAAAATAAGTTAAAACCCACACTTTTTCCCTTCTCAGTATTCCATTAACTTTTATAAATTTTTTAAATCTTTGTAGACTTCAGGATATTTTGTATTTATCATTTTAATGTGATTCATGTTAATGTAATAATGCTGAAATTTTAAGCACTCTACCTATGATTAGTAAGCATGGTATACTTCAAATTCAACCATTGTTATATTTTGATATCCCAGTGGTTGCTGTGTGTTTATTTTTTATATTGCAAAAGAAAGGCTCTAAAGTTCAGATGTGTATATTTAGAAATATTTAAGTTGCTTAAATTAGCTTAGAAAACTCTGCAGAAAGCAGCTTATACAAGAGAGTATATTCTTATATAATTATGTGTTAATAGTGTACACTAGTTTCTTAACAACAAAAATTTTTTTTATTAAAAGCACACTAATTTCTTTACTGAACCTTTTTTTTTTTTTTTTTTTTTGCTGGTCTATGTTTGTTTTTCATTCACACTCCTTTTAAAATAAATTTGTAATATTTTGAAGCCTATTTTTTTTATAAAAAAATTTATGATAAGAGTAAAACATTCCCTTTTATTAGAATAATAATATCAAAAATAAACTATTTTCCTAAAAAGTATTCAATTTAAAGATACTAAATGAAGAGGATTAATAATTATTGAATTTTATATTGTAATCATGTAAGTTATTTTTTTTGGGGGGGGGCTGCATTTAAAATACCCTTGATTAATACAATACTTAATTTCAACTTCAATTCATGATTTCATTAACACAACATCAATATGAAAATTATATGAAGATCATTAAAAACAGTTTTTATTTTTAATGTGCACTAAGCAAAAATTTAAATTTCTTTCAGATAACTGCAAGGTGTCTGACACAAATAATTAAAAGATGATTCAGACAGAACTGAAATATGCTCTGAAGAACATGAACTGTATAAGTTTTATTTTTCAAACATTTTTAAAATATTGCATATTTATGAATAATGCATTAAAAATAAAGCAAACAAAAACTAAAATATCACATGAATAAATATTTATCAAATGTTTCATGTTATTGTAACAAACCTCTGAAGAATAAATTAAAAAAATAAACTAGATTTTTATTTTTTAAAACCTAATATAATCTTACAAAAAATAATAACCGGGTAGTCATAGTTGATTTTACATTTTATATGTATGTGTTTGTGCTTGAATATTTTAATATAAAAAAGTAAACAGTTTGTTAAACCCATGGAAAATACTGGCATCAATGATCACTAAAAAGGAGAAAATTCATTTCTCATTATTACTGATATTGAAGAAAAAAATCAAATTAACATTTTTATGAACAATTTGTATTAAAAATTACTGCTTTTAAAATTTTAAATTAGAATACACAATCATTGAAATTATATTATACGTTTTGCAGTGGTGCAGACACTGAACCAAATTGTCTGCATTAACTTAAAACCATAAAATGAATTTCTTCTAGCTTCCTTATATGTGTTCTTGAGGTTGTTTTTTGATAATTTACATACATTAAAAAAAAAGTAATGTATGTTATAAAATATTATATAGAAGATAACTTGGTTTTTCCCTCAAATCAAGCCTTTAATAGTATTTTAATACAATGCTTTCATAGATTCATGATTTTGGCAATGTATGTTTCTAAATCAGTTTTTTTTAACTGATAAAAATAAAAACAACAGCTTTAAACATTTTATAGTTATGATAAAGATTTGGAAGTTTTGAGCTGAAGGATAATGTTATGCAAAACTATGAGAGAAATTAAAATGTGCGTGATTTTCAGAAACTTTGTTTCTATGAATATTTTATATATTTGATACTTATTGAAAACTGCAGCAATTTATCAAGAAAGAAGTAAATAATAAAAGAAAAAGAGGATAATAATAAAAGAGGACTGATAATAAAAGAAAAAGAGGATGTGGATTAGTGAAATTTGAAACACAATATATCCTAGCAAATTTAATCTTACTGTTAATTTCAATTTCTAACTTTACACATGATGTTTGAAAACAGAACTATTTAAGTTTTTGTTTTTTTGTTTTTGCTTGTTTATACATTTTATTTAGTACTTGTAAGAGCCACACTTTTTTAAATTGATTTATATACATATATATTAATATTTTATTTTTATAAGCATTAAAATTTATATATAACTAATAGAATAACTGGAATTTTGCTAATAAATTTTAAACCATCTCATTTATTCTGAAATTATCAGTCATTCAAATGGTGGCATATTTTGAATCAAACATGGGAATTATGTTAATTATTTTTTAAGAAATTCACAATTTTGAAAAAACAATATAAATTGTCTGTTCAGTTACATAAGAACAATAAATGTTAACTATATTAAAAATTATCTTTCTATTGCTTGTATTAAATTCAGAATCACAAAGTAAAGTAAGTTATAAATAATAACTTAAAAAGCTGTCATAACAGTGTCACTGAAAATAAGCAAAACTTCAATAAATTAAATTTTTGGTACTTACATATTATCCTGACTGTGAAAGCTGGCTACCACTGAAACCAAAAAATTCACTTAGATTCTGCCAAAATTGTACCAGTTGTTCCTGCGGAATGCTGAAGGAATTGATGCTTCTTTATTTACTGAACAATCGCCATTTGACCTGCTTAATAAAAAATTTTTTGTTGATTTATATTCTTTTGTTAAGCCTCCCGATTTTACCTGAAGCTCTCTTTAGAACGCTATGAGTACAGATATTCCGCAGGTAATTGTTCCAAGGTATTACTGTTTTGTCAGCTATATTCAGCTAATCTTATAGTGTCTATTAATATACACTGTTTTGATGGTAAGATCCCCATAACTTTAAAAATAATTCACTGCTTGCTGCTGGGCAGAAAGCAGATCTCAAATTTTGATCATCTTTTCTAAAATGCAAGAAAAAGTACAACACTAACGGTTAATTCATATGCTTGTTCATAAAAACAAAGGTAGCTTTTTAAGAATCAATTGGGGTTACATCAAGTGAAAGTGTCGATGTTATGCATGTGTTTTTGTGTCATGCTTATCCATATTTGGCACTAAATCATGTTGCTTAGCAATATCTATATGGTTAACAGTATAATAATATGTAAGTACCAAATTTTTAGCAGGCTGATTTGAAATTATTAAATTTTTAATTGAATTTTTAAATACTAGAATGTCTTTCCTTCTTCCTTCAGTTTAATTAATTATGTCTAAATTCTTATATTTGGAGATGAGTTTTGAAAGTATTTAAATTGCATTTTCAGTATTTCGACTTAATACTTTTTAACTAGATAATGTACATGGCATTTTCCCTGAATCATTTATTACTCGCATACACTGTCAAACATAACTTCTGGACACAGCTTTTTAACTTTCTGTAGTTAAAAAAATTGTTTGTTTTTGATAGGAACATTTGGTTTGAAAATTCAAGAACCAGGAACATAAATCATACAATCAAAAAATGGCAACCAAATATTTTATCGTAGGTATAATTTGTTTTGGAACAAATGAAATATTTGAAAGTAACTCTTTGAAACATGCAATAAAATTTTTGAAAGATCTAGGAATTCCAAAGTGTAAAATAATACCCTAGATAATTTTTCTGAGCACTTGAGTTAAATCGTAGTCAACTAGGTGTTATACTTTTTTTTTACATGATGTGTACAGATTTGATTCTTGATCAAACAAGTTCTAAATGACTCTTCAAATTAAAATTCACATATATTTTACATTTAACATTAAAATGAAATAGTATATTCATAATATCAGTCTGTTTGCCTTATATCTTACATAAATCACCAAGACATGATAAAAACATTTTTATAGCTGGTGATTGTAAAACGACAAAAATTTGAATTTACAAGCAATTTTTACACTCTCCTATGTCTAGAGATAAAGAGTGAAAGTGCAGTCTGGTTCTAAACAGTCTTTGCTGCACAACACTTATCAGCACATGCTAACACTCTTGTGATGTTGAAACAGATGCGAGTTCTTTGGCATAGGGACATCCCCTTAAGTCTGTAACCAACTATATACTTTATAGGACAGAAAGTCAAGCTACTCCAAATTTTTTAAATTTTAGTTTGGAATGGTGGTAGCTTGAGATCACAGATATATAACTTGTCACTCTGAGCATTGAACTCTTTCTGCGACAATAAATTTATTCTTGTTCTATACCTTGTTATTTTCAGCTGTTTCCTTGAAGAAGAGAATTTAATGTCAAAGCAGACTTATGAAGCATTTCAACCCATCGGGGAGATGATGATGATGAAATGGCCGGTATCAGAAAAGGATCACAATGTTCTCCAGGCTGAAAAAATTTCTTTTCATCAAATGGTTTACTAGGACTACTATTTTCAATTTTTATTGGAGAACTATCTTTTTCTGAAGAACTTAAACGCTGCCTTTTTGTTGGCTGACCTTCTGTTGATGTGGTTGGTGACTGGTTCTCATCTGCAAAAATTTAAATGGATATAAACATATAGAGGTACTAAGAAGATAAAATAGGTTTTGAAAATACAAACTATAAATACATAATTTGCTACTCTAAGTTTTATATAATCTAAGTCAGAAATAGTTATACTTTTCATATTTCAGGAAATGCATAATCCACAAAAGGAAAAGTTAGCTTCATAAAAATTATGAGTAAAATTGAAGAAACAGTTAATAATATACTAATTTGATGAAGCAGCATTGTAATTAATGTTCTTTAATTGTTTCCTTTACTCAGCATTATAGGTATTTACAAAACTTTATAGACATAAACTAAAAAGTAATAATTTTAACAATTTTCATTTATATTTTTTTTTTTGTTTACATGCTTCTGTTTTTTAATTTGTACCACTTCAGTTTTTTTCTTTGTATAGTTTAGATTCATAATACACATCTGAATAGAATAAAATTAGTTAGATTTTTATAAAATATATATTATATTAATAAAATCCATTCAGAATAATTTTATTAATAAAAAATGTACCCAATAAAAAGATGCAACTACATAAATTATGTATTAGATTACTTATATTTGAATAATAAATATTTTAGACTATCTTTTTACATATAAAAATGATTCTATTTGTATATATATATATATAACACAGTCTTTGAAAAGCTGTCGTGGCAAAAAAGTGTTTTATGGAACTACTCTTATATGCACCCTCAGGTCGCCAAATTTCTCGCCAATCCACAGTGCCATATTACTATCTAAGTTTTTTGTCTACATTTTTGAACTTTAAGCCTAAAATGTCTCCAAAAACCACGTTTTGAACACGCAATTTAAGCTAAAAAATCCGAAGCAAAAACAAAAAATTTAGATAGCAAAAACAAAGTTTCTAACCAAAAATATTTGACAATGCATGTACACAGTGACATCTTTTAACTTAAAAAAACATCTACAAATTGCACAATCTAGGCAGTGAAAGAATCTACGAACTACACACACCTCGCTTTAATAAATTAACATAACAATAAATTTCAAAGAATACCATGTACACCACATTCTGTTTAAACTTAAAAAAACATCTACGAATTGCACAATCTAGGCATTGCGCACAAATCAACAAAATAAATTAAAATAACTAAAATAAATTACAAACAATTCAAATAAATTCATAGTAAAAAAACAATGAACATAACATTCTACAAAATGAAAACAAAATAAAATGCACTTACCATAATACATACGTAAATAAAATTTCGCCAGTTACACAATGTCTGTCAACAAGTGCCATGATTTTGGTATATCACGTCATTCTGCGATTCAAAATTTCAAAAGTAATGATAAAAACTTCCTCCAAAGTTAACTTACTACATGAAAACCACAATCCAAATCTTGCCATACAAACACACATTCGTGCCACCAAAACCATCGGAGAACAGCACGGAATCACGGCAAAAACCAGCGCAGAACACATAATGCCACATTTGGTGATCTTAGGGCGCATATAAGAGTAGAGCCTGTTTAATTCGAAAAATTAATTTTTTACAGAGTATATTATATATATTTTAGGACTAATTTTTTTCCCCCTCCAAAATTCTTGTTGGATGTTATGCTGAGGTCCAATATTGTTTTTCTTTAGGTACATTGAGTGCTTCATATATGGTGTTTTGTAGGTTATGTATCACAACTCGAACCATTTCAGAAATTTTGCGTCTTATGCTTCCATTTTTTTACCTATCTGATTTTAAAACATTTTTATAACCTGTTTGTCATATAAAAATTCCACTTTAGTTCAGTCATAATCATGAAAATAGATATGCAAAAAAATGAGAAAATATATAGTCCTCTGAATGCATCAACTTGTTTTTTTTGGGGGGGAGGGAACAGAATTTATTAGTGTATGTACATGTCTAGTAGTGATCTTACATTGCTTGACTATTTTTAACGTCCATGAAATGTTGTTGTTTGGCATCAATGTTAGCATAGAAAAAGTGCAATGTTTGAACTTGAACATTTGGTGTTTTATTATGTTAAAAACTGAATTAAAATTTTGTAGCAGAATACCATACTTTTCTCCACTGCAGGTAGTCACCCTATCCCCATAAAGAGGAAATTAAAAATTTACTAGTAAAGTACATTCACTGAGAATAATCATTCCATGGCATACAGGCAAAGATCAAGCACAAGCAAGGTTACGTTTTTGTAACTGATTACAGCTTAGATTAAAATTCTTAGAGCCTTTGCAATCTGAATGCTTTTATGATTTTTATAACTTATGACCATTCCAACAGTGGTATTTGATCTCAAGTATCCAATACATTATATCTAAAGATCTGGGCCATAGTTATGACATTGTATTTGCTCTTAAAACTATTCAAGTTCCACACAAGCAAGTGCCCAGAAATGTCAGTGTATGATACATAAGGAGAAAAATTAAGTACTACTAATACTACTGCTAGCAAGCTGCCATATTAAAAAACTTAAGAACATCATGAAAGAAAGACTATTTTTGCGCAATATTTATTAGAATGTTTAAAAAATAATTTTGTGATATATACACAACTCCTTTATTTGGCATGCTTATACAAACTTGCAGAATTATATCTTAGAAACTAGATGATCGTTTTCATTTGATGTTTAGCTATTATAGAATAAGTTTAATTCAACGGAAGAATTATATAGGCTGTTTTATATATCTTCAAATATAGACAATCATTTGTGACAAGCAGTGTTGCAGTATTTAAAGAAAGCAAAAGTGCTAAGATATTTCAAATAAAATTTGCAGCATTTATGAAAATGATGTTGAATTGTTTAGACCAGTGTTTCTTAAACTGTGGGTTACCAAAAATTTTAGCAGTTTTGATATTTTTTTAACTTATAATAATTTTATGATTATCAAATATTTTTACATAATGTATCTGAAAATAGATAAAGATAAAACATTACAGACAAAGAAAAAACAAAAACGTTTTGATACATTCTTTTTATAATATAAACGTTCATTTTCTTTGCTTTGCACGTAACGCTGTCATTTCGTCTGTTACTTATTTAAAATTTTCACATTGTTTTATGTCTTAAAACTAGAAACTAATGCTAATGATCTAAAACTCCAATAGTATATTACATTACAAGTGAAAAATTGACAGTTTCACTCGAACGTGTGCCAGATTTGCACAATACTTATGGGGTCCCACAAAATTTTTGTAAATATAATGGGGCCCTGGGAGTTTCGAAAAAAATCTCAGTGATAAAAAAAGGTTTGCGAATGAAAAAGGTTTAAGAAAGCCTGGTTTAGACAGTTTGCATTTGGTTTAGGAGATTGGAAGTTATTTTAATCTGGAAAATGAGGACCACAGTGATCGTCCCTTCATTACAGATAGAGATCTCACAAAGGCATGGCTGACTACAATTATGATACAGTATTCATGAACTGGTAGAGACATTAACATTTTCCTTCACAACAGCATAGAATTATCTCATAAATCTGGCTAAATTAGTTGTTTTGAAATATGGATTCTGTATCAGTTGGCAGACAGCCCTCTCCTTAAATATGTTTCCAAGTGTAATTTTTTTTTTTTTTCGAAAAAAAAAAAAAAAAAAAAGGAGAGAAACATTTTTGAAGAAATTACGAGGCATTTTTTTAAAGCACTGTTTTGAAATTCTGGCGTCTCAGCACTGTGGCTGATATTCTGTATGTGCATGCTATTTACCTACATCAGTTGGCAAGCCACAGGTACAATAAAATAAACTTTTGACCATGTTAATGTTTGTTTTTAAATATTTAAAATGGCTTCGCTGGTTGAGAATCCCACCGACTGTGATATATAGTCAGTGATTCATTTTCTTAGCACTAAAGAGGTGAAAAAGGCTGAAATTCTTCATCAGATTAGTGAAGTGTATGAAGAAAACATTATGAGCAATGGAATGTTACGGAAGTGGGTTAGAACTTTTCAAAATGGCCGCACCGAATGTTGATGATGATAAATGAACTTCTGTCATTACTGAAGACCTGGCTCAGTGACTAACACTTGTTCCTGCACTGGAAGAAATATCTGGATGGTATTCACCACAAAGACAATAAAGATGAAAATCGACCGTGTTGCAGTGGGTGTCAAATCACGTGGCAGACTTCTACGAAAAGGAGATTTAGAAACTGCTTGTACAATATGATAAATGCCTTAAAATTGGCAGAAATTATGAAGGAAAATAGATTGAGGTACAAGCTTTCATATGAAAATAAACTGGTAAGAAAATTCTACTTGTTTCTTTTTCATTTCCAAATGCTACTTACTTAAAAACATGCCTCTTAATTACTGGGGAAGAAATATGTATCCTCAATCCAAATGTTATCTGTAAATACTCACAAAAGAAGTTTTAAAATAATTGTTGAATACACTGAAAGAAACTGGCAAAATATAACCAGTAGTATTGAACTATTGAGGTGTTATTTCCCAGTTCAGTAATGCCAGCCTTGTGTGTCTTCAGCTATTAGAAACTAATTGCTAACACTTGCACAGGATTCCAGATACTCTCCAAATACTGCCTTAAGTGATTATTCTCTATTTCTTTCATTAAAAAAAAATTATCTTTGCAGTAAAATGCTTAGTTTAATAAATGACAAAAATGTATCTGGAATGATACTTGCTGGCAAAATAAAAAAAAAAAATTCTGAAAAATAGCATTAAGCAAATTTTGGAAAGCTATAGAGATATAACAGAGCAGAATGAATCATACATAACTCAGTAATAAAACATAAAATATTATGTACGCCTTTCTTACTAACATTTTAGAAGGCAGTGTCCTTTCTAAACATTTAGGCAATGTATAAAATTATTGATAAACAACACAAGGAACTATTGCTTTCATTACAGTACCTTTTTTGACTGAATACAATTGTAAATTATGTAGAAGACTAAAAATTTAGGATAGTTTGAAGGTTATGCAAGGACTTAAATCAATATCTACAGTGGGAAGTGCATACTCAGCAATACTGGAATTCCACTTAGAAATACATTAATGATGCAATTTGTATGCTGCTGTTAAATGTTGTATTTGATAGCACTATGGTAAGGGCACAGGAAATATATTTTTCACAGTTCTTAACAAAATTAGCCAAACTTCCTTATGCTAATTAATAATAATGTAAAAACATACTTAACATTAACTAAAAATAATAAAGTATTACCCCTCCCTCAAAGAAAAAAAAAAAAAAAAGTTTGTCGCCACCAAACAATACATAATACAATGGGAATTGAAAGTTCCCAAACTTTAATCTTTAAAAGGAACTATTTATACTTTGGCAATGATTTATTGTTTTTGATCTATACAGTATGAACTCGTAAGTTTACCAAATTACAATGAAAGCAAATGAAAAGTATATTTTTACAGAAAGTGCTTGATATGACCATCATATTCTTCAAGATACAAATTAACATGATGACATATATACCTCAAAGTTTCATTAACAGAATTGACTGATGTATCATGCTTAACTGTTTATGATAATGCTCCCTAAATCTTTTAATTTCTAACATGCCAAACTTCTATTTTTGCATGAGATTCATTTCTTCTTCCTTCCATTCACTCTGTTTGATATCCTACCCTGTAGTGTGCATGTGCACTTCAGCAAAGGCCAGATTTACTCCAAACAACAACTCATAATATCTTTCATTGTTAGAGACATTCATTATAACATTTAGCATGAGAGTTTGAAGACTTGAGAATAGCTCTATAATTTATATTATAAGAATGTATTTGGACAAAGGAGATGTAATCCTTCCAATGCACTCTTCTGTTATAATGCAGCATACTGGCAAAAGCTACAAAATCATATAAAAATTTACTCTTAAAATATTTTAATCTCAAACTTACCTTTATTGTTATCAAGAGATTTAACTTGAATATCACCATCTTGGCTGATATCCTTTTCATCTTTACAGTTTGCTGAATTGCAATTTTCACTTTTTACTAACTGACTGCAATTTTCAATAATATTATTTACAGTTTTCTTAAATTCTTTAGGAACTTCAGATGGCTGCTCCACTGAGAAGACTAAACATAAAGCTCTTAAATCCTGAAAAATGAGAGATTATAATAATTTTACTCTGTTAATCGGAATATTTGTTTCAAAACATACATAGAATGAAAATATATATAATTACACAGATATTAATGTACTGCATTACAAAAATGGTATAAAATTATTACCCAAGCCTAAATACTGAAAATGAGTGTTGAATTTCAGTCATTTTTATAAAAATATAATTAATTACAGTCTTTCAACAATTTCTTCATGTGGAAGAATTCATCATCCTATCTGTTAGATAGGATTTGAATGTGTCCCAAACTAAAAGACTTTCTGAATTTTTTGAGACAACAGGATGCTTTTGCTACACACATTTTACCCACAATTTCACACTTTCCATCCATCCATCCTTTCTCATAAATATAAATGAATATAACATTTTGGCACTGTCTTTCTTTTAAGAATAAACATGAGTTTTAATTTTTGACCATCCACTAAGCAGGAAAGAATTACAATGAGGTGAGACTTTTCATGGCATGTTGTTTTATGTAAACCAATTTTGTGCCTTTCACATCGATCACAAACATATTGTTTTCTGTATCGCTTTTCAATTTAAGGTACCATTGTTTGAAATCCTGGGGAAAATCTTCGAATGAATAACTTAAAAAAATAACAGCATCGATTATGCATCTTTCATATTTCTTTGTATAGAAAAGAGTGTGCATTATATCGTGAATATAACTACAAATTTTTAAAAAATGTAGTTTAAAATTATAGGTATGTGTTTTACTCTGGAATATACAGTAGTCATAATTTTTCTGATTAAATACTTCCTTTCCTATTCTTACTACATGGGAATACTAATCATACTTACTGCATTTAATTTATATGCATGCTTAGATATATCTGCTGCTTCATATGTTTTTGCAAAAGTAGACATGAGTGCTGACACATGAGTTAACATTTGGTCATTAATAACTTGGTTTGAAACCTAAAAGAAAAATATTCATGTGAAATGAGCAAAATTAATTAAATAATGTATAACAAATATTCAGTACATATAGTAAATTTTCCATAAAAATGCCTTATTATTACAGAAACAGATTCAAATATGCTACATAGTTATCATACATATTATACAGTCGTCAATGCAATGCTAAAAATGTATTAGTAACACAAAAATTCCTTAATTCATAAATAATGGCCAGTCATTACCAGTGAACATTTCATTCTACCTCCACCCATACACCTGTAGAGAAAAGGTCAGACCTTCATATACTGCACATGTGCAGCTGATGTTGGAATGTATAAAGCGGCTATGCATTGCCTTTCCAAAACATAGCAACATAATGGGAAAAGCAGCTGATTTATCAGACTTTGATAAAGGTCAAATCATTATGGTTCAGCAACTGGGAACATCAGTATCAGAAATGGCACATTTAGTGGGCTGTTCACATGCAGTTGTTGTGAGCATGTATCAAAAGTGGTATATGGATGGTGAAACGACAAGTCGGCCAGCAGTCTGTTGTTGATGGTGCATTGATTCCAGAGGAAAGTGGAGATTGTTACGCATTGTTCGCCATGGCCGAGAGCTACAATAGCCGAAATCACCACCAGCTACAACAGTGGTGACCCAGACAGTGTTTCTCAACACACTGTGCAGCATTCATTGCTGCATATGGGCCTACGTAGCCAGAGGCGGAAGCATATCCCTTCACTGACAGCACATCATCACCAGCTACGTCTGCAATGGGATAAGAAACATCGGAATTAGACATTAGAAGAATGGAAAAAAGTTGCATGCTCCGACAAATCACGTTTTCTGGTCCATCACATATATGAGCATGTGCTAATATGCTGATTTCCAAACAAAACCCTGACTTCCGGATGCACAGCAGGTTGAAAGCAAGCCATTGATGGGGATATTATGGTGTAGGCAATGCTTTCACACATATTTAAAATGCTATAGACAATTGAAAAATCCTAACAAATGTGAAATATGCATTGTACTTCATTTTTCAGAATGTAAAAGAAATGAAAGCATCCAAAATTCATCGGCAAATTAGTGAAGTCTATGGAGAAAACACTATGAGTGTTGCAATGGTAAGAAAATGCATTACAGCATTAAGGATGGATATAGCAATGTTCATATTCAGCAGCATGGTGGAGAACCATCTGTCTTTACTGAAGATTTAATGCAGAAGGATATAAAAAAATAAAAATACATATAACTTTGCCATTATGAGTTTTCCTCAAGTATTCTTTATGAAATTGTGGCAGAATGTTTAAATTACTGGAAGTTGTGCTCACACTGGGTACTGAAAATACTGAATGAGGTGCACAAAACCAATTGTATAGTCAATATTTTATCTTTAATTCAGCAATACAGTGATAAAAAGGTGGATCGATTTTTAAGTCGAACTGTCAGTGGTAATGAAACATGGGTAGCTCATGTTACACAGGAATTCATGGAATGGAGGCATCAAAATGGTATAGAGGTTGACAAATTAGGCAGCAGATTTCTAAGAGGATGAAATTCAGAAGCTAGTTGTATGATATGACAGTGGCTTAATATGTTAAAAAATAGATAAACGTACAAATTTTCATGTTAAGATGTAAAATTGTTAAAAAAATTGCACTTGTATCTTTTTTAATATCAAAATGTATTTACTTATAAAACACACTTCATATATATATAAAACGAAACTAAAAATTCAAAAATTAAATTCCACTAATTGTATGCCAAATGATGTGTGATGTCATGAAGCAGGTAAACATTAAGAAAACATTTTTTTCCCCATTCACGGGTGGCAAGCCTAGAGGTAGACAAAGAATAAAACAGAGGAAAGGGGAAAAAAAATTAAACTCTGGAAACTGTATATAATGGCCCCCTCCAAAAGGAAGGATAATGTAAAATTGTAGCTCATTGTCAGGAAGCAGACACATAATTCCACATGATCAACCACTTAGCAGTGTTCCACCGCAGAAAGAAAATTCACCTTTCTGTAGTATTCATTCATAGGTTTATGAAAGCTAACTGCAAAGTTCCTAGGAAAGAAAATTCACCATGATGATACCATCATCAAAGTTTCATTTTTGAAAGAATAGAACAGCACACAAAAATGTCTGCTACACAACTCTCTCACTCTCGGACACCTAGAAATTGGTTGTACACACAGTCTCTGTCAGTTAAAAATGTCTTGAATGTTATTAAGTTATGTTTACTAAAGAGATGAATTAATATCAAGTAAAGATTAAATTTTATTGATCACAATTATACAGTACAAAGTCTGTAATCCGGACTCGTTGGGACTTCGGCGATTCTGGATTAGGGGTTTTTCCGGATGATAGATCATCAATTTAAATATGGTAAGATGGCATGCAGAAATTATACTATTAAAAATATGAAACCATAATTTATGAAATAAAAAGGAATTATGATCTAAACAATATCAAATTTTACACACACACACACACAAAAAAAAAAAAAAAAAAAAAAAAAAAAAAAAAAAAAAAAGCTTAATATTTATTTGTTTACTTCATTAAACATTTCTTTCAATGCATACATGCGTAAAGCATATGCGCGTAATGTATGCGCATTCTTTACGCGCATGCATAAAGTTTGTGGCTTTGAGATGCGGATTATAGATCATTCCGGATAATGGACGTCCGGATTACAGACTCTGTACTGTAATACATTTAAAGCTATCACATAAAGGAAATCTTTGAGAAAAATCTATCATAATGATATATAAAATTATATATTAATTATACCTGAAATATGTTATATATTAAATGACAAAAAGTGCACAAGTTGGGATCTAATTTTGAATACAAATAGATATGAATTATAGTTAAATATGACCAACAGGTAAAAAACACTTCTCTAGAGGAAAAGTATGTAATCAAGAAATTATACTTCTTATCAGTATTAATGCAAAATAAAATGAAGTCATTTTGATACCAATTGCTTCATCAAATTTATCTGATGACCTAATGACTTTTTTTTAATCACAAAAAATAAATTTTTAATAATGAGTTTTTTATTCCGTGTTGTAGCTTGAACGCATTTATCATTAGTCTTCTCCAAAATTTTCAAGCTTCTTTCAACTGAATCGAGGCCATTTGTCATATTCGCAACAGTTGCATGATTTTGTTGTGGATCTGAGTCTAAGCTATGGGCTTCTTCAGTTACAATTTGCTCATCATCTCTATAAGCTCACCGACTGTTATTTCTTTGTAATGTCAGCCTAACAAGTCAATGACATCATTACTTTAATCTAATTGCCTCAATTCCTATTATAATGCATGATCTACGTAGTGAGTGAATGGTAGGGAATTAAGTGAGAGGGGAAATTGAGGAACTGCATAATTTTGAGTTCTTGTAAGTTGGGGTTGTAACTTATTGCAAATTTTATATTATACTGACCAATAAAATGTAAATCTCAACAAAACCATTTTCAGATTAGTAAAACGAATACTTTTTTTGGGGGGGGGGAGAAAGCACAGTACAACAGAATTCCAAAAATCCAGGAATGCCTCGTATCTATGCTCCTTTACACTTGCAAATAAATAAAATTTTGCTTTTCAGAAAATTCAACATAGTGTATTTAGTGACAGTTTCTTCTTATATAAATATGAAAAATTTTTCACAAAAATATTCAATACTTAAACATATTTTGATTGAAAAAGTTATTTAACATTTATAATGTATTTCTTGCGCCTTTCTAGTGTGCCTTCGCGGTGTAGTGGTTCTGCATGCTGGGCCTATATTCCAGAGGTCCGTGGTTCAATTCGCGGCGAAGGCGGTTGCTAATTTTTCATCTCTTTTGCTTCGAAAAAAAAACCTAATGTCTCTACACATTTCTGTCTGTGTTTCTACATACATCAGCATTTTCTGATTATAATAAAAGCATATAATGAATTTGCAAAATTTTTTATTTCAGATAAATCATCAATTTTAGGTATATATACAATCACCTTTTAAAATTGAGTGAATGTGGTTAACATGCATAAATAATTTATTTACACTCAGTTGTTTTGTTATTAAGTTTCAATTTAAAAACACCTTGTAACTGGTTTGTTTAGATTCCATGCAACATGCAAGCTTGTTTTCATCAGTGGTGAATATGGATGGATTCTTAAAAACAATCCATGTTCTGATCTTTTTCAATGTTTAAATCAAAAATACGGTAACAATAAGATGAAAAGAGAAAGATAATTCATATATGTATATAAACCCAATATTTCAATTCTAACATTTTTGTTTATGTACTATTAGCTATTTTATTAATCCAATTGCCCATGCGAAGCACATAATAATAAAATTACTATACGGATTGAGTTTAAAGAAAATTGGTAGATTTTAGTAAATAATGCATTTATTTTTGTTTATTTTTATCTCTTGTTTAAGACTATAAAAATTATTTTGAAAATAATTTTACTACTGGTTATATAATATATTTATGTAAAATATCTCAATAAAGTTTAAAAAAGTTCTCCAAGTCCGGAAAAATAATTTCTTATCATTTCATGCCTTTTTCTCTGCACAAAACTTTCTACTTGTAATGGGATTATTTTCATTGAGTAGAATGTTTTAGAAAAATATAATACCTTAGTAAATTTTGATTAAATAATTCTTGAAGTCCAAATTATTTAGTTATTTAGGAGGGAAAAAATCCAACTATAAAGTGAAAAATCAGAAAAAGTAAAATGTAAATAAAACTTAAAAAGATATACTCGTACAACATTTGGTCTCATGCCATGCAGATTACTGGAATTCTGTTGTACTTATGCTTCTCTATATTTGTCTAAACTAACACAAGTGCAAAATAATTAGAGTAATATAAATATTTACCTTAGGTAGTAATACAGAAAACAACTGAAATATTAGAGGATGATTCAGACAAGTTCGTTCATCTAATAGAACAGACTCTAAGTAATCAATAAAATAACTGCTATTGCATAAAAGCTGAATGAATTCTCGCCCAACCTAAATTAAAATAATTGAAAACAATCTGTTATGAAGTTTCAATAAAAGCAAGTAATAATAGAATAAACACGTAATTTTTAAAGAAGTGCAGTAATTTTTATATCATGAAATCTCATATATATATATTTTAGAGAGAACACATAATTTATACATTTTACATTATAAATGAAAAATCTAAAAACGTTAAAAATTCTTTTAATATTTTTTGATCAAAATAAAACACACAGAAAAACAAAATACACAACTTACATCTGAATGAATTATGTCTAACCATAATTTTGGAAATACTGGTAAGTGAAGAGGTACTCCTTCAATAGCAAGCATTGCACCTAAACAAGAAATAATACAGAATTGCATCATCAGAATACATATTTTTTAAATAAACATTTTATTTTCCAAACAAAATAATACTTACTAAGACTCACTAGATCTGCCGTTATGCACTCATTAGAGATTGCCACTCTACATAACATATCCACTAATTGATGATAAGGTAAGTAAAAATCAATCAGTTGATGGTCATAATCTTCATCAACACCCTGAAATTTAATGTACAGAACTTATAATCTGCATAAAATATTTTAACTACAGCATTTTATATATATGAAGTAAATTGGGTCGGTTTATATGATTACGGCAAAGCACTTAAGGGGTATCTACTTAGATTTCATGAAGCACTTTCTAAGGGAAACTGGCTCATATTCACATTATGCATGAGAAAACATGTGGAGCCATTAGTTATTTTGAAGCAGGAGTTGTGAAAAATATGCAATGCCCTCGCCAGGACTCAAACACTAGACCTCTCAAATATGCATCGAATATGCTTCCCATGAAGGCATGTGGAAAGGAGGGAGAAAATTTCTTATATACTTCCTCTTTTAAAGAGCGAATGAGGATGAGGGGACACAAATGCCAAATTCTGGTGGTGATGAATTATGGTACACCACTTTTTTTTTAGTTCGAGCACTGCTTGTAGTCATTAGGTTTTTTTGAAGCTGGAGACAAGAAAAATGTGCAATGCCCTCACCAGGACTTGAACCCTGGACCTGTTGAGTATGCTTTCAATTACGCCATGAAGGCAAGCAGAAAAGAGGAAAAAAATATCTTACAAACACAAAAATCAAACATGCAATCAGAAAAACTATGAAAATGCACACACAGATAGCCCATTCACTGAGATTCAAACTTCAAACCAAACTAACTGAGAATGACAACTATTAAGTTGAAATTAAGCTAAAAATAAGGTTTGGTCAGAGATTAAATAATAATAATAAATCTGAAAGCTTTCAGATTTTACATTATGCCCAAAGGGGCGTTTTTTAAAACTTTTTCTGTTTTATTAAACATCATGTTCTTTGCACTTAAACCATAAAATTCAATTCCATAGCAATATTGCAATAATTTTAAAATGAGCATATCTTTAGAATTTCCGATACACGGTCTTGCACACTGGATATGAAAATGTTTTTTCCCCCACACAGTGTTGCCACTGCACGCTTTGAAATCGTTGAGTTTCTTAATCAAAAACTCATAAATGCTTTACAAAATATGAAATAGATAGTAAAACAAATTCCAAATTTGGGCTTCCAGATGACCATATTCGCTGGAGGATCATGTTTTCAAAATTTGATGGCTCTAGGTACCATTGTTTTATCACAATGCAAGAAACATACATCACATTTATGCAGATTCTTCATTATTTAATTTCTTTAAATATAATACAGGCTCTAATAATTGGTAGCAACAATTAAAAAAGTTATTTGCCATTTATTATAGTGAATCAATGCAAAATGCCAAAATGATATGAATAGCCCTTCTGAGCTAATGCTCCTTTGGGCTAAAAAACTGAAAGCTTTCAGATTTTATATTATGCCCAAAAGGGCATTTTTTTAACATTTTGCGTGTTACCTTTATTTATTAAATATCATGTTCTTCACATTTAAAATTATAAAATTCAATTCAACAGCAATATCACACAATATTTAAGACAGCATATCTTTAGAATTTCCGATACACAGTCTCGAGCGCTGGAGATAATTCCCCCCCTCCGGTACAGTGTTGCCACTGCTCGCTTTGAAATCATCAAGTTCCTTAATCAAAAACTCATAAATGCTTTACAAAATATGAAATAGATAATAAAACAAATTCCAAATTTGGGCTTCCAAATGCCCATTTTTGGTTGGAGATGTACGTTATTCAAAATTTTATCTCTCTAACTACCACTATTTTATCACAATGCAAGAAACATACAGTCAACAGTCTTTAATCCGGACTCGTCGGGACTTCGGCGATTCCGGATTATAGATCATCAGTTTAAATCTGGTAAGATGGCATGCAGAAATTATAAAATTAAAAATATGAAATCGTAATTTATGAAATAAAGAGCAATTATGATCTAAAGGGTATCAAAATTTCCAAAAAAAAAAAAAAAAAAAAAAAAGCTTAATATTTATTTGTTTACTTTATTAAACATTTCTTTCAACGCACGCATGCGTAAAGCATACATTACGCATAGCCGAAATTAGAAAATTGCAACCAGAAAACTATTTGATTTGTATTCGTGATATTTATAATGATGAGGAATTTGATTTAAATCATATCAAAGATGGAGTACATGGAGATGAAATACTACATTTAGTAAGGAATCATAAGCCGAATAAAATAAAAACATCTGCCCTGAAGATAAGGATACTGCTGACAGATCAACTTCCAGTTCATAGCATGCTGTGACGTTCCCCCTCTCCCGCGCAGAGCAGCGTGAAATTGATAAACAGATTTCGGAATGGTTAGAGAAACAAAGGAACCTTTATCCATTTTTTGCAGCAATTCCACTTTTTGTTTGATAGACATCGAAACATGCTTTCCTTTTGTAGACCCTTTGGCAGCTCCAGCATCGGAAATTCTATTTGGCATAATCGAAAGTTCCAACGTACCTTTATAAAATTGCTCTAACAGTCTGCAAAAAATAATAAGCCGGATCCAATTCGAAGATTAAGGAACAACGCAATCTGCAACATTAACTAAAATAGGTAATTAGATAATTTTAGCTTAGCTTATACCGTCCGTTATACATTAAACGCGCATGCGTAAATGTGCATGTGTATTTGCATATGCGCATGCATGAAGGTATTACGCGCAAAAGTTTGTAGCTTTGAGGTCCAGATTATAGATCATTCCGGATTATGGGTGTCCGGATTAACGACTTTTGACTGTATTACATTTATGCAGATTCTTCATTATTTAATTTCTTTATATATAATACAGGGCTCTAACATTTGGTGGCAACAATTTAAAAAGTGATTCACTATTTATAGTGATAATTAGATTTTTGATAAAAGAAATCCCATCTCTCGCATGCAAATGTTTATTTTGAAAGAAAATTATTAACATGCAGAAAATTTTCAGCAACAATGCTATTAACATTTGGCATTTAACTGGTTCTATATACAAGAAATAAACATGGAGAAAATATTACTTTATGCATAGAGAATATATAAAAAAATAATACATGAATGACACTAACTTTAGAAGATTCTAGTTGACTGACATGCAAAAACATCTGAACAACAGGTCTGGGTGGCCGTATACTAGTTTTAGATGGCAATAATTTCTGCCCTCTTCTAGGAAAAAATGGTCCTGTACTGCCTGTTAAAATCCAATAGGTTTTTTTTATTAAATAATAATTCTATAGGAAATATATCTAAAAACATTTCTGAATATTTTTGTAATTTTTTAATGATTTACAGCTAAAAGGAAAATGAATAAACATTTATTCAAACAATGAACTTGAAAGAACATACCTGGTGAATTACTTTCTTGAAAAGTAGCATGGCAGCCTGCTAGAAGAGGCACTAATGTTGACAAACTTTCATTTGGATACAGTAAAACCATCTCTTGCAGAACTTCTGAAATTAAAAATAGCAAAATAATATACTGAGTAGAGTTCACGATTATTTTAAATAAATCAATATGAAATTAAATAAAACATATACAAAATTTGTCAATTAATGTTTTGATTAAAAGCTAATCACGAGGGAAAAAGTCTTTTTATTTTTAATTACCGTATTTGACGGCATATAAAACGCACTTTTTTTCCCTAAATTTGGTCTCAAAAAAAGTTACCTGCATCTTATACGTGAAGGACACAGATTAACTTTCAATATTGAATCCTATTTTTAGCCCAGATAAAGGTCTAGACACGCATAACTTTTTCTACATCTGCCATAATTATTTTGCTCATGCGTGAAATATCTGTCGCCAAAAAGCGCCAAAGCTCGAAGCTGATGTCGAAGTTTGAACAGGTTCGACGGTCACATTACGTCTATGGAGCCTTTCCATCTTTACATGGAAACACTTTACTTTACATGTAAACACCTTCTTTACACCTTTACTTTAACTTTCTTTGACTCATCCGACACACGTGTCAGTATCGGTGCTACTCTGTATAAATGTGTCGGTATCGGTGCTTAAAACTGTTTGTTTTAAAAAAAGTACCCTGGAAAATATGACTACAGGAAACAAAAGATTAAGCTATACAATTCAGTATAAACTAGGAGTGTTAAACTATGCCAAAGTGCATGGAAACAGAGCAGCAGCAAGGCATTTCGGTCCACCACCTACCGAAAAAAAATAGCTTGCCCTTTGTTTATTTTCCTTAATAAAAATACGTTTGGTAATTGCATTCAAAGATTGTTTATTTGGCTTTTATGAAACGTGAAAACTAAAAGAAACCACATTTTAAGTTATTGGGGTACCGTGCTATCACGCGGACTATTGAAACTTTTTTTCCTTGTATGTGGCCTTCTAAATAAGGGTGCGACTTATATGCCAGTGCATCTTATATGCCGTCAAATACGGTATCTGTAATTATTGAACCATTCATAGATCATTAACATTACATGTTATAATTTGTTTAAGATAAAATAGGAAAGAAATTTACACATATTTTTAGTTTTTATTCCGGAGAAAGTATCTTATACTTTAAGTCATGTTGACATTTCTTTAGCTAACATAGCAAAATTATGAGGTAAATAAAATTACACTTAGATAATCCACCTTGCTTGTCTACACCTCCAATGCCCCAAAATGTGGTGATTCTAACTATTTTACAACATAGGTATTATTTCGATCAATATAGTTCTCTTCTAATGGCTCCTTTTTAGTTAATGCATCAAATGTGCCTCTGAGTGATAAAATGTTACGACTTCCATCCCAATTTCATATCTTTGAATACCATAATTTGGACAATACTTCATGCTTATCTTCTCTCATCTGAAAATTGTTTCACTCTGTAGTAGCAGCGATAAATCTCTCCACCTCTCAAAGAGATGAATTAGCCTTTAATTTCCTTCCAAGGCTTAGCATGCTGGATAAAAAATTGCAAGTTTATTTTAAACAGTTAGAAGAATTCTTTAAGGGGTACCAGAAACCCCTATACCGACAATGTTAAATTGGCCATTTTCGATGTACCTTTTCTCAAAATCTGCTGTTGATACAAGCTTGAAATTTTTTCTGTAATTAAAGTATACCTATTTGATTATACTGAAATGAGCTTTTGAAACATTTTGAATTTTAGAGTAAATTACAGAATATTTTGTTAGGCATAGTAAAAGTTAGCACTTTTCTCACACAAAAAAAATTAATTTTTTTTCTAAGTTTATTACGAAAAGTTCATTTCAGTAAATATTAGGGAACCTAATAAATAAGCCATAAAAAGTTTAGATACCTGTAAGCAGTAATTCTTGAGAAAAGGTACATAGAGTATAAAAAAATCACGTTTGGAGAAAAACGTGTTTTTGTGTAAAAATCCTCATTGATCAAAGCAGTAGATGACAAATTAAAACTAGATTTTTTTACAGTTCTAACTTTCATAGAGATTAAAGAATGGTATTTTTAAAAAGATAAAAGTGTAGAGAATTTGAAAATGCAAAAATACAAAATCACAATGTTTTGAAGATTTTGGGGTTCCAACACCCCTTAAACAATTATCTTCTTCATATATCAGAGTAGCAGTTCTTTTAGGGTCAATGCACATGTTATCCAGATTCCACAGTAAATTTAATTTCCTTTTAAACAATGACCAGTATACAATTAATCTTGAGTTTAAAAAACTTCTATCACAGATTTTGGTTAATGGCAATTATAAAAATAAGGAACTGTGTGGAAGTATATACAAATTAAATCTTTTAAAAAAAAAAAAAAAAAAAAAGAGAGAGAGCTCACGTGATTCATTAAAATAAACAGCATTAAATTATTACAGTACCTATACATATTTGCCGTAACTCTGGAGGGGTAAAAGAATTGAGTAATGTGAGCAATTTTCTCATAATATCCGGCTGGTCTTTCCATGTGGCCCAACCACTGTCGTAATTCTAAGGTATCTCTGTTTGTTCTGGCTGTTTTTAAAAGATCTTGTACAATAGCTAATAAATCTACCATGTCAGCAGTTACATGGCAAGCTGTTGCTTCATGATACATCATGTGTAATGTATAAAAAGCCTGAAAAACAAAAATCTAGATTACTTAAAAATATTAATATTATATACCAAAAGATTTAAGACTTACCATTAGAATAAACTATTAAAGTTGACATAAATGTAATACATATAAAAATAAATATATTATTAGCATGCTATTCACACAAGGAGATCTATATTATGAAAAGGAAATCAAACTAGGAATGTTTTCTAAATATATTAAGAAATTAAACTACTTCACTGAGATTTGAAATGAAAATTCATTCCAGGCTACTTCATTTGTACTATAAAGTTGCAAATTTCTATCATCATACAAATTATTTACAAAGTTTTTCATTTCATTCCTAACAATTCCACATCAAAAAATTAATTTTAACAAAATAATTCTTCCTATTTTTGTGTCATTTTCAGTGCAGTAATTCTAATAAATTTTTGAGTCACTTTCAGTGCAGTAATTCTAATCAATTTTTGAGTTATTAGTATGTTAAAATATTTCATACTTTTTTATAGAACAGGAAAAGATCTCAGCTATGATTTAATTTTAGACCTATGATTAAATCAATTAATCAGACCTATGATTTAATTTTATTTCCCAATCTTTTTTTTTCCCCTTCGTTAATTCAAAGCAGGTACATAGATTTCATGAACCAGGATAAGAACTAGTGATATTCTGAGGGTATCTTATCTTGAGCTATCATTATGACTGCCATCACTTCACAGTAGTTTGTTCAAGTCCATCAAATCATGTTTTTTAAACGTTTACATATTTAGAAGTAATTTTTACTTATTAATTTATTTTTAAATAAAACTGTAGAAATGAATAAAATATGAAAAAAATCAATGAATGTCTGGGCTTCTAAATTATGAAAAATTAACCCACATTCAGCTTGATTCAATAACCAAGAAAGAATATCTGTTGTCATCAAAATGTAAAATCTAAATCATAAAATCTTAAATTGCCAGAACAGTCACTGATTTTCAGAGTTTCAAAGTAACATCCAGATAATTATTAATTTTTCACCAACCTGTGGATAACACCCATTAAACTACTGTAAAATTGCTTACAAAATAACAGAAGAAGAGTTTATATGTCAAACATAACAAAGATAACAGTATGCTAATTTCATAGCAAATTTACAACAACGTAATACAGCAGAATTTATTTACAGCATTAAGTTACATTACAACTGTTAGATTTATTTCCAATTGAAATTTTTTATAACTTTACATAAAGAATTTCTAAATATGTCTACATATGCATTACAACTTACCAATAGATAGATATATACAGATTTTACCATTGTTTAAATAATTTCAAATGGCAATAATGACTTTCTTTTAGACATAGTTCCTGTTTTATAGTAAGCGAATAAACTTTTTAAACACATACCTGAAATAATAATGGTAATCCATTGTTATAAATAACAAAAATTCGGTCATCTGTGGTTTCAACTAAAATACGAAGAACATTAATTAAAGTAGCCCAACAAGCTCTAGCATCTAATACACCAAGGTATAAACGAAGAGTAGTTCGTTTGAAATGGTGAATTTCACGCAGTTCTTGCTCTGTTGCATCACTGTATTTTGTTACAAATAATCTCATGAGTTTGAAAAGTTCATTAATAGCCTGCAATAAATAAATAAAATATATAGCATAGGATTTTCACAAAAGCTCAGAATATAAAACTACACAATATAAATATAAATGAAATTCATTATTTCATGCATAGAAGAATTTTTTCTGATCTAATAATTTATAACCAAAAATGAAAAATTACTTCAGGAATAGAAGTAAACAACATTACGGAGATTACAACTTAATGTAAAAGGTCTACAGCAATTCATAAAAGCATGTACTTTGCATCACACTTAAATATTTGTTTAATTGCTAATGTTAACAAATAATACATCAATTCAAAGATAATTTTATTGTGAATTCAAAAGTTTTTAAGCTTTAAAATAACAATAATACTGTAAATATCATGGTGGAGGTAGGAAATTCTGTAAAGATAATTTAATCGTTCTTTAAAAAATATTTCTTATAAACTACAAATGATTTTTGTAAATTATATACTACTTTATTAATAGTGCATTAGAAAGCCTATGTGTTTAATTACTAAAGCACACCACTTGGGCATACTACTCATATTTCTCAAGGTTATTAATTGGAATTAGATGACAGCAGCACAAAATTAAAGTTTAAATTAATTCTACTTAATTGTCTGGATTTGTTAAATTGGCTGAGATTTGGCAATTGGATAGGTCACTGGAATCTCTGAATTGATTCAGAAGAAAACTATCTGCCTACTGTTTATAATAAATGGCATGGCGTCCAGATTTTCAAGCACTTTGACTGCATTCATCTTTTTTTTTCATTTACAATGCAAAACTGACCCCTTGCATGTGCTGCCATATAACCCCACACCAAAACTGCAGTATGATGCTTTACTGTTATACGGTACATTACAATTTAAATAATTCATTATGTTGGTATTATACAAATGTGGCTCCTTTACTAGGTATTAAAGAAAGCATTGTTTCATGCCACCAGATAACTGTATGCCATTGATCGACAGTCCATCTAACATAAACGTCTGGCCAATGCAGTCGCTAAAGCATCAGTTTTTCATTAATGAAAGATTCCTTCACATTTCTGTGAGTTCTAGGAATGCTTTCATTCAACCTCTGATTTATTGTCCACAAGGAAACATTAACTGAATTAAACATTAACATTTTCCACTTATGCCTCAATTTTTCACAAGCATTAATTAAAACAATCTCTCAAAGACAAGAAAGAAGACTTTCTTCATTTCATATTGCACTTTTTCTTGTTCTTTCCTTCTGTGTCAATCTTCCAAATTTCTAGCTAAGCTGAAGTTATTTATGCATCTACTTACTGTTGAAAAATGACATTTGGATTTTACAGCAATGTGATGGTAAGATAATTCTTCAATGTGCAGCAAATTACTTTTAGCACATGTAAAATTTTGTTCATAAACAAGATTTTTCAAACAAGCATAAAAGAAATTCAAAATTCTAACATAGTGTTTTCAGTGTTAAAAACCTTAAAGCAAGCAATAATCATTCTTTATCATGCAGAATTCAGACTTAAAAGTGTTACAGTGGATTGAAAAAGCAACTTTTTAGGAGTTTTTTTTTTTTTTTTTTTCCATTTATAACTATTAAAATAGTGCTGTCATTTTAAAATGGTAAAAGTTTTAAATTCTATATAAAATATTTTTTTTAAATAATGTATACTTTATTTAATCTGGCATTGAAGTTAATTTTGAAAATATGATTACTGGCAATTGACATGGAGTTAGAAATTCGAAATTTCTTATCAAATATTGGTCGTTTTTTGCACTATTTGATGTGAAATCATATTCATAAGGTATATAATTAAAAGTAATTCACCAAATTTTGCTTACCATAATATTTACAAAATATTTAGTTTCTAAATAAGAAAACTTACTGCTGGAAAATAATTTTTCACAAAACTTCAGATATTCTTAATATATTCAAAAAGTTATTTTTTTCTGATGTGCTTTTTCATCTATCCACATAAAATGTGTTCTTTTTTGCTTGTCTTTTTTTAATTACTTTTAAATTGGCTATACAACAATACTATAACTGTAGTGCAGTATATTTGGTACTCAGCTAATCTAATGAGTAATGCATTTTGAACATACATATTAATCAGGTTTCTGATTTAACAGTGGATGCTTGTTATTTTCAACTTAACTAGAGGTTGAAAGTGCTTCAGGAGAAAACTTAGTTCAAATTCTGAATTTTGACCATTTTTTTGGCAGCTAGTATAACGATAAACTATAATATGTGAGCACATACAAGCAATGGCACTGATAATCTGATTCTGAATTCTCTTGCTTGCTATATAGAAATAAATAATAAATAAAAGAAGTAAATTATGCAGTTAAAATTTGATATTTCGCTAACAGCCTACTAAATCACCATTAAGCATCACTATTTCACAGCCTCCTACTAGCAATTGGCCCACCAGTGGCTGGGCGGTAAAAATCACTGCACGCTGGTATTTCCGACCTGGGTTTGAATCCAGGCATAACGGGTTGGATGCATGTCACTTTTGTGGTTTCCCCATGTCGAATGAGTATATGAGCCAGTTTCCCTTAGAAAGACCTCCACAAAGGCATCATTTCCCTAAGGCAAACAGCCGTAGTATGCTTTACCATAATAAACTAAAAAACCTACCAGCAATCACAAGCATCACTTAAAGACAGTGAAGCCAACGACTTTATTATTGCAGTTTCCTGGACAGATATTAATTAATTTATGGCAAAATTCAATTCTTTAAGCAAAAATTAAAATTTCAAGCAGCTTTCACCGTTTAGTAAAATATTCAAATAATATGAGCTATTCAAAACTTTAATTAAAGACTTTGTGTTAAATGATTTTGCTTAATTGTAAGCCAAAGTTATTTTTCTCATCATATTTTAGATAGATCAGGCTAAGTCATGCCAGATTAACTACAATAGAATGTGAGAATTACATCACAACTGGAGAATCATTATTATTTTAGTCTAGATACTGACATAAGAACTGATGCTCTGTAACAGCAGTAAAGCTTTTAGCTAATACTTATATATATATATAAAAAACAGAACAAAAAACAAGGGAAAAAAAAAACTTCCTGCTGATAATTTCGGATTTCTTTTTAAACTATTGAAAATTCCACAATACAAACAAATATTCATTCAATTACTATGAGTATAATACATCATCAGTTTATAAATCAATACAGAAACTTATATATTTAAATTTAAAATATATATATGTAGTATTTTAAGGGCATAGATGCCAATGGAACTTTTAAAAACTTGCAGTCTTAACTGGTTCAGTAGAATGATAGGATGATGTTGACACAAACCAAGTTCAGCTAATTTACCATCTTTATTTCTAGGCACATTAGAATCATTCTTTTGTTTGATCCTAAGCAATTACAATAATTTTATATGCACGTTATGGCCTTAGAATAAAAGCAGGTACAGAGTTGACAGCGTGGCAGGAGTTAGGAAAATGGAATGACGTATTTTGGTGTGAGTGGCATTTATACTATGTAGGTGCAATTGTAAAGCTAAACTGCTATTGGTTAATTTTCGTTACCTTTTTCAAGTAGCGGTATGTAACATGAAAAGATCTCGAATCTGGGAGAACAGATGAATTTAGGGGGAAGAACATAAAATCTAGAATAGTTATTTTGAGGTCGCCAATCATTTCTTAAAGCAGCTATTGTCTTTTCTTATATCTTACATATATATATAAAATATCTACCAAAAACTTCCAAATTTCTGTAAGTTTCAAAACTGTACTAAAAATCACCCCATTAAAAAACAAAAATTATTTTTTCTGAATCATATTTAGAGAAAAATAAGTTTCAATTACCCCCATTATAAAACAATATATGGGAATGCATTACAATATGAGAATAAAGCAATTTTCCTGAAATCTTTTTCATTAAAAAATTACTCTTACATTACATACTTCAGCAATTAAATGTCATGTGAATACAATTGCAATACAAAATTATATATTTCACTTACAGCATTATATTGAGTTGTATAAGGAGTTATGTTTTTGAAAGCCCATTGTATATTTTGATGACTTGCAAGCTGACGTGTGAATGGACGAGACTGTTGACAACATAACCGTAACAAACCATAATAAGCTGGAAGCATACATCGATTGAAAACTATAACTTCTTGATCTTCATGGTCAGCTCTACAGAAATGAACAGGAATTTATTTCAAAATTTGATTTTCGAAACAAATAATAATAATGTTTGCATTTGACATATAAATGCAACAGAAAATTTACATGCTTAAATCACCTAATGAGTACTTATTAAAAAAATAACAGAATTACTTTTCACATAAAGCAAGCCTTCTATAAATTCAACAAAAGAAATGCATAAAATAAGTTTTCTTCTTACATTAAAATTCATGAAAAAATATCTGGTTGAAGGAGAATGTTCATGACTTTTTTTTTTTAATCATCAATAAATTTTGAACACTGATAATTTAAAATTCAACTTCTGTTCACATTGAATTCCAAATATTATGTAGCATAATATGCACCAGAACAAAATTACACTGTTTGTCTCTTAATAGCCACAGCTTTCAAAAGAGACTAAGTTAAAGCAGAACAATGGCTGAATGTTCCTAATTATAAACTTTCTGACCACAGAGTGCTGGAAGCTTTATGAGGAGTTAATTATCATGACATTTAAAGCATTAATACATTACTGATATTCTTTATAGATGAAAATAAAATCACTCAAGTTTAATAGATTATTCGGTACTTACATACATTCTTAGCAAAAGATATTTTCAATCTATAACAAAAGAATTAATAAGCTTTTTTGGAATAGCATAACTCAAAGCGTTCAGTGTACAATCTACTACTACAAACTTTGCAATGAAACTATGTTTCAATTTTGTACATATATATTTCTTAACCCAACAAACCCTGTTTATTGATATGGAAGAGAGAAACATCAACAAAAATTTAATATTAGGCAAAAAAGCAACCTTAGTTTGGCACACATTTTGATTTAAATTCTATCAATCTTGAGGGCAATTAGAAAGAAAGGTTCCTTTTCTTTAAGAGCAATAACTTTTTCTTTGCAAAATATGAAGAGTAACAACTTCATATTGAAAGCAAAGCAAAAGCTTATGTAGTGCCATTCTCCAAATAATATAGCAACGAAATACAATAAGATAAGATAAAGATATTAGGTATACAATAAGGTAAGATATTAGAATTTTGAAAGTACTAGGAAAGATTAGATTGGGATTAATGCCACTACGAAAAGAATATACATTTTTTGTGTGTGAATGTGAAAAACGAGGAAATCCAGTTCAATGACTGAAAAAAGTTTTATGCATAATTTTTGCAGAAGGTCAAAATTGTGATCACGTATTCAGTTATGATTAGCTATCAAACATTAGATTATTTCACCTTTGTGAACAAATGATTCATTCTCCTTGATGTGAAATTTTAATACTCTTTGGCTGATATATGACAAACCATATTAACAAAATATATTTAGAAATCTCCATTGAAATCAATGGTACTTTTAAGAATAAATAAGAAAATGGTCTGAAAGTTGGAGAACATAGGCAAATTTGTAAGTGACAGAAGGTGAAATAGAATAATGACAATGTTATTAGGGTTGTTTCTAACAGTAGAATGTCTTTTTTGATGACAAGACAAAAACTTTTAAATGCTTTATTGATCACTGTGTGAGAAAATCCTCAATCAATAGAAAGTGATCATGAGAGAGCAAAGATGTTGAAGAACAAATTTTGGGAGCACAGTATACACAAGAGTAATAAATTTAAAAAAAAAAAAAAAAAAAATTGTTTAGCAGGGTGACATGATTTAGCATGAGGAGGCAGATAGACAGAAAAAGGCTTAGAGTAAATAGAAAAGCTGAAATAAATTTCATTGCAGATAATTTGAATAATAAAAAAGCAAAGCACTTTTTTTTTATTTATGCATAATATATATTCTTAAATTGAATATATATTATCATAAGAGGAAAAACATGATGGGTAAAAGGTTTAAAAGTAAGACTTCTCATTTTACTCTTATCTTGTTTTTACACTTCATTTTTGCACTAAATACATTTTGCTTACTCAATGAAAATTAAAGTATGAGGCATACCCAGTAAGCAAGCTCAATTTTGCAAGAGGAAAGCTAATAATTGCTTTTCAAGCCAATTTTATTATCATAAGAAAGATCATTTCTTAATCTACCTTTCTACATAGTTTCCACCAATGTTGAGACATCTGTCGCAGTGAGTGACCAGATGAACTATACCTTCCTCAAAAAATCTTCCCACCAGTAAATGAAAGCCATATCTTTAGAGCCCTTTTTGCGTTGTCTTCGTTTGAAACCACTAATCACCAAGGTGTTGCTTCATGTGCAGGAACAAATGGTAATCAAACAGTACTAGGTCAGGGCTGTAGGAAGGACGATCAAAGTATTGCCAAGTGCTCAGTTTGAGTGTCTTCATTTTGAGTGACACCAGCAGCATGGAGCCAAATATTGCTGTGAAGCAAGACAATTCCTTGATTAAGCATTGCTCTCCTTTTGTTCTGAACTGCAAGCCAAAGCTTTTTTTCACAGTCTCACTGTATCAAGCAGCATTAACAGTTGCATTTCCAGGAAGAATCCCTTTTATATCATTACAAAACAGGGAATTTTAGGTTGTACTGATGTTTTGAAATTTTGCCTTTTCAGAAGACCACATGTGTCCACTCCATCGATTGTTGCTTCGAATCTAGGGTTAGGTAATGAATTCAGGTTCCACTGTCGGTCACAAAATGGCTTAAAAAAGCCTCTCTCTTATCACTGTATATAAGGAAAAATGTCAAAGCACTGCCAAATCATTTGGTTTTAAGGATATCTGTAAATATTTTTTGTACCCAAGGAGCACAACCGACAGTAACCTAAGCAATAAGAAACAATTTCATGTGAAACAGTTCTTGAAATTTCAGGAAATTCAGAAGAAAGCATTGCTAGTGTAAAGCATCTGTTTACTCATCAAGTTGTCTTACAACATTATTATTGACAACAGAAGGCTGTCTGCTCCATGCTTCATCATGCACATGCTTTTCATTTATAGCATTAAAAAAATGAATTACGGGATGAATCTCACAGTTGATAGGTATTTCATTTGCCTTAAACATCTTTAGTGATTAAAATAAACAGAAAACACAACACAGAATGACTGTAATAACACCAGCAGAAAGTTAAGGAATAAGGAAGACTAGTCTGCATGATCAGAGTACTGCCAAGAACACTGTAGTGGCAGAAAAATAAAATGGAACTTACTTCCCAGGCATGCCTTGATATTTCTTTTCAAAGTAAATTACAGATGTATTAATATAAACATACATGCATGATAAAAATATGTACACCAGCTTTCTAACTTTAACCCTTTCAAGACGGACATCCCATATACACATTCCCTAAGAACGTCTCTTACAGCCGGGCGTCCCATCCACGCATCACTACAGAGTACACTGTCAATGGCATCCTATGTCCATTACTTTTGAAATGAACAAAGTTTTAAGTTCCTGACCTTGAGTTTGATATAGTCTGCTTGACTTTGGTATTTTATTCATCAGCTGTTGCGAGGGTGGGGGAAGAGAAAGCATAAATAGAGGTGGGCTCTTTAAATCGCTGCATGCTAATGAAAACATTCTTGTGTCTGATTTATATCCAATTCCTTTTTTTATTCTATTTTCTCCCTCTACTATGTATGGTCCTTTAGGGATACTGTGCGGAGTTCTTTTACGTTTTGCATTGCCTTCAGCTATATTTCCGTTTCTTCTCTTTTTATTTATGAAAGCCTTACCTCCACCACGGCGGGAAGGCACTATTTATCAGAGGAAGAATACCCTGGTATGGTTAGTGAACCTGGTCATATGGTTAGTGGTCATATGGTCGTATGGTATACCTGGTCGTATGGTTAGTGAACCATTTATTAACATAAATGAGAGTAATGATTCGTTTTCTAAAGAGTTAAAAAGTGATACTTTTTCTAAGAGTTAGAATGTGATACTTCTCTGTGCTTTGAGATTTACCACACTCAGTCTTTATTTTAAATTTTGTTACTTCTTACTGTACATAGTCTTTATTGTGTTGTTTTATTAATTTTAAACTTTAGTGATGGATTTTATCAATTAAAACTTTGGAATAATTTGAATAGCACTTCCGAAAATTATTTTTACAAGATAAGCAATTTCTTAAGTATATTTTTCATGTAAAATAAAGAAAAAAACATTATTAAGTGCTAATTTTAATATATATAAGAGCTCAAGTAGTAATCTAAAATGATACCAAAAATTACGATGCTAGAAGCGAGACTTTTTTTTTTCTGTTTTTTCTTTCCCCCCTTTTTTTTAAATAAAATTAGGCTTCATGATGCAAAACCTCCATCCTGTATGGTGACTGCCTTTGATTCCCTTCCGTCCCGCACGAGCGTCTTAAACATCGCAAAAAGGTTAATTTGCAACAGTCCTTTCATTCTTTTTATTAATCATATTATTTCTCTTTCCATTCTAAAAACAGTAATTACTTATAATAAATTGATCTAAACTTTGTAGCTTTAAAATTAATCCATGCCATATGATTCTTGCATAAGGCTTATGAATGAAGCACTTATGCAACATTTCAGTTCATAATAATGAAAATTTAACCAAATAAATAAAACTGAACTGAAACAAAATCATTCTGAAGGGTTTTCCTATTGGGCACATCACATTCCTGCACTTGCTTGCTGTTCTACAAACATGCTATCACTTACTTCTCTTTCACCAATTTCACCGTCAGTGTAATGATGCAATAAGGCACAAACATGATCAAGAATGAATGCGCCGATTAAGTTCATTAAGCTGTTTCCTTATGTCAAGAACTGTTTTCTTCCAAAAATAAAAGTGCTTAATTAGGCCATGACTGCAACTACTTGTTTATGTATTCATATGTTTATATTACTTTAAAAAAAAAAAAAAATGCATTTTCCTTTTGGAGGGGCTTATTTGCTTTTATAATTGCCAAACTGGCTGTAGGTCAGAAAAGCTTATTTTCTTAAATGCTTCCTTTTAGCTTAAATAAGTGAATTTAAATCTTTATTAACAATTTTGTATTACAACAGCTTTGTACTTATTTTATTGTTAATATATGTAAAATTTTGATTTTAGTTTCATATATTAAACAACATTTCTGCATGCACATATATTGGGTTTAAATGAAAGTTTCTTGGCACTGCAAATATGGTCTGTGCAAACAGTTTGCGTGGCCATATTTAATCATAGTTGTCAAACGATTTTTGGCATTTGAAAGAAGGAGACTTGCTTTAAAACACTGTGTTGTGAAATTTGTGTAAAAATATCATTATTATCAAGTACAAGGTGTCTGAAATGGAACTATCACACTACCAGATTAGAACCATCATTTACTTCCAGTTCTGTTGCAAAAGGTCAGCTACAGAATATCACCAAACCACGCATACAGCTTTAGGTTCTAATGTTGTACCACATGACACTGTGAAAGTTTGGTACAGAAACTTCAAAAACAATGACTATGATATTCAAGAAGAAAAGCGCTCTGTCTGGTTTATTTATGTTGATGATGCCCACCTGCGAGAACTTGTGGAAGAAGTATGCACCACTTGAGAGCTTATCAAGGAATTAGACATTAGTGCCATGTCCACTAGTTGCACTATGCATCGCATAAACTTGACGTACAAGTTCAATCACTGAGTGCTGCATAAGCGGACTCAAATACATAAAGACAGACCTGTTTGGGCCTGCACTAATCTGCTCAAATATCAATGCAAGGAGGACAAAATTTCTGGATGGAATCATCACTTGTGATGAAAAGTGGATTTGCTTCAACAACACAGGCTGAAAAGGTGTTCGGTGTGGCAGGTAAGCCCATTAACAGCATTGCAAAGTGCAATTTGACCAACAAAAAGATCATGCTTTGTATCTGGTAGATTGCCATGGTATTAACCACAAAGTGTACTTTGGAAAAGGTAAAACCCTCAACAGTAAGGTGTACAGTGCGGTGCTAGTCCTTGTTGACACTGCTATCTAGGATAAACGTCGAACTAAGTTCCTGCACAAAAAGGTAAGGCTCCATCAAAATAATACAAGACCACATATGTCTGCATTCACCGGCTGGGCTCTATACAAACGGGATCTTTTGCTACACCTACCATATAGCCTAGACATAAATCCTTCAGACTTCTACCTTTTTTCACCTGCAGCTACATCTTGTTAGTGCTATCTTCAGTTCTGCACAGGATGTCCAAAATGAGGTTGATCTGTTTTTGTTTACTACTAAAGGTAAAGGCTACTAAAGGCTTTTAGTTTTTTTTCCCCTAACTTTATTAAGAATGTTTTTTGTGGAAATTTTTCATTACAATTTAGATAATGTGCATTGACATCCCTGACTAAAATGAAAGCTTTTGAAAGAATTTTTCATGCTGTGGTATAGATTGTTTAGAAGTTCTGTGATAACAAAGTGTATTTATAGCCTACAGCACCTTTAAGCTCCTGGACAGTGCGAGATGCAAGTTAGCATCCTAGTGCATCTCCCATATATTCTACTGAATTCAAATGTGAGAATGTGCATACATCCCCTGGATTTCCTTGTCATCCCCCCCAAGATAATCAGTCACTAGTGCAGTACAATGGGGAGTTTCTGGTCTGAAGGCTTAGAAAAACTCAAAATGTTGGCAGAAAATCATAGATTTGGGTAGTCATTACTACCCGCACTAAAGTTTTTTTTTCCTAACTTTATTAAGTATATTTTTTTGCGGAACACTTTCGTTACAACCAGCTATTTAAAAAAATGCCTTTGATGAATGGAATTTATCTTCAGCCATTGAGAAAATAAGAAAAACAACAGTAAAGAACTAGGAAGTAAGCTAATAATAATAATAAATGTGAGGAATAAAAATTGCTACTTACAAAATATAATTAAAAGCTATATTTTTGGTAACATGAGGATTCTGTATAATAAGTTTAACATTTTCAGGACAGTCTATACAAACATGATACCAAAACAACAGCAAAGCCTAAAAAAATAAAATATAAAGTTAGAACATCAGGAAATCAATAGGATGCAGTCATATATGAAATGAAAAAATCAATTAACCACAAATAGATACAAACTCTTTAATTAAAAAATATGCTTTAGATAATTATATATCAATAAAGCAATAATAATTTAAAAATATATACAAATTTTGTAATAAATATAAATTTTAAGATATTCATTTTTGAATTTTTTCTTTGATATGAGCAACCATATTATCACCCTCTTCCTTGAATAATACAGAATCTATAACAGAATGATGAAGAGTATTTGGGTGAGTGTGTGCCACATAGCACAGTGATAAAAAGGCCCAGAGAGCACACAATGACATGAGTACATTAGCCCATTACACATCCAGAGATAATACTTTCAAATTCAATTACGAGTTCGTTTAATGATCAGATTAATCACAGAACCATTAAATAGACTACAAAATAATCTTTAAATTTATTGCAAATCTTTAACTTAATTTATCAGTTCTCCCCTAATTATATCTCTAATAGTTTAAAATTTTCCCAATGAAAAACCTACGTGTTGTATAATCTTGAAACTTTAAAAAAGAGCAAAATTTTAATCATACAGGTTTCTGAATTTTTTGTTAACATGAAACATTAGAATCTCAAATGCAGCAATGCTACGTTCCTTTCCTTTTCAGGTACATTTTATTTGGAAACAGTATAACTATCACGTATTTCATTGCTAGGTCAATAATGTTGGCTATGTCTTAAGAGTTTGTCTTCTCTGTTAATGATATTTTCTCTTAATCTGCTATCACATCTACTATAGTCATGCAGGACAGTGCTCTAAATGAAACATTTGTCAGAATCCTCATTTCTGGAAAATCTAAGTAGCCAGGTAACAATCTTCACTTGCTAAACAGACCTGAATGCCAAAGTGAAATCATTTATCGCTCAAATTGGTGAAAGAGACATTTGTTTTCAAATCTTGTGCTGGAGTGGCAGAAGCATTTCAGCCTCCTTTTATTAAACATTTTAAACTTGTTTGTTGGCAGATAATAGAAAGCTGGTGGCCAATAAATTGATCACTTTGATCTTGACACTGGTGATTCTGAAAACGTCTTTAGTATCAGTGTTCCATACTATTATGCATTATTTACTTTAAGAACAGAATAATGTCCAATTAACAGATAAACACAACTCTAGTTATAGCAATCAATTACATTAGTAATGGCCAAATTCTGCATATATGAAGACCAATTTAAAATGTACGTTGGGTCTACATAAGTCTGCTTATCAGACATTACATATGTATATATTTGATACTTTCTGATATCTGAAATATCATCCTATGAAAAGTTTTGGCTCACTTAATTTGTGAATCGGCAAAACCATTTCCTTGACTAAATTAATGGCTCATAAATACCCTTTGTCTACAAATAATAATTAAAAAAGCATAAAAAAGAACTTCTGTGACAAAAATCAAAATGGTTGATATATATATGTCACTGATAAGTTGTGTTTAAACAAAATGTAAGTCATGATCATAACAAAGCCAGACAAGCTTGTTGGTCTGACCTTCAGAATAGTTTTATAAAGAACGAGGTCAAAGGGTAATGGAATATTTGTTAGAAAAGTACAAAGGATGTCATTCGAAATCTTCACACCTATTTTCTGCATTAAGGGACGGAGAGGGGAGGAAATTGCTGTGAAACTGGAAAAGTATTTTGGGCGGTTCGGTATTTTAAGGATACACTTTAGCGAAGGGTCCGGATTTCAAAGAGATAATCAGGATAATGTGCAAAGAACTGATAAATACAATTGCTGTCAACTGCATGATCTTTATATGAATTAGAAGTGACTTCAAATCATCTTTCTGGCAATTTTACGTTCATATATACATATAAAGAAATACACATTTAAGTTATATAACAGATAAGAAGTTGTTGGTGTATGCTTATTAGTATTAATGTAATGAATTAGATGTATAGTAATGAATGTATATGCAAATGTTTTTCATCCTGCATATAATAAATCCATAAATTTGAAATGTATCAATATGTAGCATTCACAATAAAAATACAGTTTCTACTGTATTTATAATTTAAAAAGTATTTCATTAATAACATAAAAATAACAACATACAAATCTAATGACTATTAAATGCTAAAATCCTCTGATGTTATTTACAATGCTGTTGATTATGCAATAGGTGATTTAAAGGCAAGTAATTAGCAGAGAAGTAAATTTGTGCATATATTAACAGAGTTTTGAAAATTATTTCTTTTAATTAAAAAAAATTCTATTAAATAAAAATGATAATATTTCTACATGGTCCGCTATAGGTGAGTATGAAATATAACAAATTTGGCAAAATTTTGATGACAAAAAATTTGTAAACAAATCATCAAAAGTACAAAAAGTTATAAAATACTGTTTACCCTGAAATTTCTATGATTATAAATCTAAGTACATAAACATTTTAAAAATGACTTAGATGGTTACATTATAAAAACACTGCACACAAATATATTTGGGGGGGGGTATTTCTTCGATAAAATTGGCTTCTATTGTCCATGACTGTAGACATCGCCATATTGACAATTTCCCAAGATAATTCAGAAAGAGAAGTTCCATCTAATCGGTTGATGTTAGATTGTTGCTGTATGGGACACAGTAGCATTGCTTCCACTGGAGCTGCTTTTTCTAGGAGCCCTCCCATTTAAACTAGTGTTACTAGAATCCCATTTCTCAGAAAAGTCCCGCCTAGCGTTGCACGTAGCTAGATGTAATAGCCCATTTATCTCCACACTTCGGAGGACCATACAAGTGGTCTAAAGCAAATTTTTTAAGGTCTGTGTGTATCAAATGCACTTTGTGTGCAACCAACTGGAAATATTGTAACCTTTTTACACATGCAAAGAACAGGTACATTGTAGTACATAACAACAGTGAAATTCCTTACACAAAGCTTATTTTTGCTTTTAACAACTGTTTTATAGCTTCTGTTTATATTAAAACTACAGCAATTTAATGAATCTTGAAAAATATTTTTGTATTTTCACACTGCTTAATATCTAGTATTTCAAACTTAAAAAAATGATAGTGAATTTCACACCAACAATTAAAGATTAAATTAAACATTTTATTTTAAAAAACGCTGTAAATATTTGTTAGTTATTGTAAGTTACAGTTTAAAATTAATGCATTTTTAATCAAAATTAAAAGGTAATAAAAAATAAAAAATCATGAATGTGCATAGTTTCTCATAAGTATGCTAATGAACTACACAAAATTATCCCAGCAGTTAATACATGCACAGAACTCAGAATCTTAGTGGGGGGAAAACACAGAAAGAATTTGTAATATAATTTAGAAACATCTCTAATGTATATCACACATTACTCTAATAAAGAAGTGTATAGTTTGTGAAAATACATTAATATAGACATTGGCCTGGTTTCTGATGCTTAACATGTATAGAAAGAAGAATAGGAATTATGTATTAATTAAAAGGGGCAATTTTTTTTCTTATTATAACAACGCTCATTTAAAACTTACATACTTGAAAAAACATGAACAAAAGCATGAAATTAAAAAGTTTATTCATCATTTAAATTACAGAAAATAGTAAAATAATTATAAACAACTACACATTTCAAATTTTTACTTAAATGCTAAAAATAATATTGACATGCATACATTCTATATTTTTTTAAGTATTATAATCATTAAAAAGTACCAAATTCCCACCTGTTTATTCATGTGAACTGGTATAGCAGGCTCAGACAATTTCGGTTGAAACAAATTCCACAAATCAAGAAAATAAGGACTAAACTATTAAAAAAATACGGTTAAAATCAACATATTAAAAATAATCAAGTTTTATTATATCTCAGAAAAAAATATTATATTTGACTAAAATAGCAAATAACATTATTTCAGCTCATGACAAAATTAACATGAATTATGAATGTTTTTCATAACAAAAATCAAATTTGGATTAACTTTACAATTAAAAAAGTTCTCTAGTTCACTGAATGAAAAATTATAGTAATTTAAAATGCAATGCTTTAATAAATAAATATGCAATAATTTGATTTTAAGCTCTAAGGTATTAACTTTGCTATTTTAATATGAATAAAAGTACTTTAATTTAACATACCATAAGTTTTTCTGTTTTAGTGACTAAGCAATATGTCATCACAGCAAAATATGAAGTTAACTTTGTAGTTCCATGGACAGCAGGATCTATAATATCGAAATTTAATACATTAATTAATGATGACTCAACATTTACAAAAAACACATCATTAAAAATTCTGCGATTTTTCATGGGTTTTTTACATTTTACAGATATTTTATTTTCCTTAAGAATTCAGCAAGATGATTTTACATACTGATTTCTAGCCCCCCAAAATTTTATACCATTTTAGATGAAACTTTTATCAATTTAAATATATTGCTGTATTATTTTAATAAAAGAGATGTAAGGGATTGCAATTATGTTGAATAAAAGCATAGATGGTCAATCAAAATTATGCAAAATTTATTTCAATAGTTTAAGCAAATTATACCTAATAAGTAAAATTAATAATTAATAATAATTCAAGGAATGAAAAACACAATCATCATCCAGTTTTATGAATTTTAGTTATAAACTATGAGTTCTTATGCATTCCAAACTTAAACTCCTTTCTACATTTCAAGATACATAGAAGTGTTATTGAAATAACAATAATATATAAAATTTGAAAAAAAAAAATGACATTTACTTTTTGAATCTTATTATAAAAGTAAGACCAAATAAGGTTAAGTCTTGTGACAGTAGAATTCTTACCTACATACATCTTTGCCCGTTTCAATAACCGTAACAGCAAGTCATAAATCTTAAAAAAGAAAGATTGAATATTTATTTAAAAATTGTATATGTATATATATATATATTCATTTACTAATTTAAGTCATTTTAATTATTGACTGAAAAAGAATAATACAGTCAAAAGTCGTTAATCCGGACTCGTTGGGACTTCGGCGATTCCGGATTATAGATCATCAGTTTAAATCTCGTAAGATGGCATGCAGAAATTCTAAAATAAAAAATATGAAACCGTAATTTATGAAATAAAGAACAATTATGATCTAAAGGGTATCAAAATTTGCAAAAAGAAAAAGCTTAATATTTATTTGTTTACTTTATTAAACATTTCTTTCAATGTAAGTTGTTTACGTTTTGCTTCGTTTCATGTGATAATACTTTCTCTTTAATTCTATTAAACAGACATAATTTCTTATTTCAGTTACAAAGTTCCACTGTTCAATTCCTGTAATTGCTGTGTCGAGAATACCGATTGACTTGTCAATCGAAACTTTTTCGTTTTCAATAACCTCTCTGTCACTTTCTTCGCTATCGGAAGCGATTATAATGACGAGGAACTTGTTTTAAATCATATCAAAGACGGAGCTTATCGAGATGAAATACTACATTTGGGTAAGGAATTATAAGCCAAATAAAATAAAGACATCTGCGCTGAAGATAAGGATAGTGCTGACAAATCAACTTCCAATTCATTAGGCGCCCGCCGCTGAGCAGCGTGAAATTGATAAACAGATTTCGGATTTCAAAACATACTTTCGCTTTAGATCCTTTACATATTAACAAATATATATCGGAAATTCTATTTGATATAATCGAAAGTTTAAGCTTACTTTTATAAAATTGCTCTTACAGTCTGCAAAAAATAATAAGCCGGATCCAATTCGAAAATTAAGGAACAACGCAATCATCAACATTACCTGAAATTGATAATTAGATAATTTTAGCTTATACGTCCATTATGCATAAAATGCGCACATGAAAACGTATTCTGCACTTGCGTACACTCATATGCGCAGTCGTAAAAGGTCTTACGCGCATGCATGAACGCCTCTGCACATGTGTCAACGTGGCCATGCGCAGAAAGTTTTTAGTTTTGATGTCCGGATTATAGATCATTCCGAATTATGGGTGTCCGAATTAATGACTTTTGACTGTATAACACAAAGCAAAAAGCAAGAGAACTAAACCAAAATAATGTTTAAAAATAATATTTAACAAAATCAAAAACATTAATCATTTACAGAAATAGCACAAATAAATAATTAGAAATTTAAAATTAAATTTTATGAAATGATAATAGAATGCAATCACAGGATTTTTTTTCTTACTTTATGCATAACTTCTATAGCATCAGAAGCCATCTAGAAAAAAGTAAAAAGAATAATATATTTATATATTTTGTGCATGTTTATCTCTGTCACAACTAGAATTACAATAAAAAGGGCAGAAAATTACTTTTTAATGCTCTGAATTTATTTTCATTAAAAAAAATATTTCTATTAATGCTTGAATCAATGAAGACAGCAATTACATAGATACACAGTTTTAAACTTTCTTTATTTATGAAACTAAAACACAAAAAGTCTTAAATATATGCACAGTTAAGTCTCAGCAATTTATGATTAACCTCTAATTGGTCATTTAAACTACTATGAGTTCCTGTGCCCTTAGCTTGAAAGTCTAAGACCAAATCTCTTGCAGTTGCTTCATGGATTCTTCGAGCTGAGAACGACAGAAGATGGTCTTCTGATGTAGCTGTTGCTCTTGGTCACCCTTGACCAGGCTGTCAATCAACTAATCCAATGCCTCAAAAGAGGCTGCAAACTCTTGATATAACACTTTGAAGAGTATTCAAATCTAGAGCAACCTCTATTTGTGTTTGACCTTCCTTAATTTTAGCAATTATTCACCACTTTTGACCTTCACTTAAATGATGCTTCTGAACCATAACTGCTGAATACTGATCATTCTCAACCACATTCACTTTAAACAATTCTACATACCAGAATTCCAACATTACTGTCAATCACTGAATTTGCATATTTCCGGTGCTAATATGTATATGCAGAAGTGTAATTTTGTGTTCAATTGTATTTAATTAACATAAAAAATTAGAGCATTGGGCATTGGTTACAACATTAACTTAGTCAACATATATTTTCTCATTACCCTTTAATTTTGAAAATCAGTGTAAATCCAAATATCATTCAAAGCTGAAAAGTGCTGAAGATGATTTAGATCTAAGCTGTGTCAGATATTGAACCAAGATTTAATTTGCAGCAACTAACAAGTACGTCTGTCTTTTTCTAAGATTCCCTTTTATTCATTTTTGTATATTTGAAGCAAATCCTAAAACTACTTCTTTTCATGTGTATATTGTTCACCAAAGAAATAACTTATAGGAAAATATTTATTTTTATATCTTATTTTATATTTAGTATCTGGGGTCATGAAAAAATCTTGATAAAAAGGAGTTACGATTGAAAATAGTTTAAAAAGGTGTGGTGTGGTGTGGTGTGGTGTATTTAATTATGGCAAAGCACACTAGGGCTATCTGCCTAAGGGGAGGGATGCCTTCGTGGAGGATTTTCTAAGGGAAACTGGCTTGTATACACATTACACATGGGGAAAACCACGAAAACGCCCATGCAGCCAGCCCGTTCGTGGGATTCGAACCTCAGTTTAAAAAGGACTACTGGTGAAAGGATTTTTTTGACAATCTATAGGTTCTGCGACATAGAAAGTAAGTTTTACACTTTCGAAGTACCAAATCTTCATCTACTAAAATCTATATTATCTCTGACTTATCAAATAAAGGTTGCTATGAAGCAATTTGTGAAGCATGTGAGGGTTTTACACTCATCTTTCTACATGTTCCTGAACAAGTTTGGATATTAATGATTTCACAAATGAATATTTTTCTTTATTAGCTCATTTGTCTTGCAGTACTGATGTAAAATGTCATAGCAATTACATATAGAAAACAGTTCATTTTTTTAAATTCTGCATTCTTCAAAAGTAGATATTTTATGATTATGTTATATTTCCTTGCGTATGATCAGCTGTCTGACAGACTATGTCATAATAAAAATTGTTTTTATTTAAAATATTTATAATGAGCATTTATTGCAAATATGGTAGCAGAAAGTTATCATTACGGTTTACAGTAACTTATGAAAAGAGTACAATATAAGTATAAAAAATGTGCTTAAAAATGTCTTAAAATGAGATATTAAATTTGTATGCCTTTTTAACAAATGAAACTAGATATACTTACAACAATCTCTTTATGAGGTAACAAAACACTTCGAGCAGCTCGATAAGCTTGTCGAAAATTATTACTTGGCACAAGGGATACTAAAAGTAATGCAACAACTGGAAGTAAAAAAAAAAAAAAAAAAAAAAAAAAAAAGTCAGCAATTTTTTTAAAGTTCCCCCCCCTTTTTTTAAAAAAAATGTTTAAATTTTTATTAGAGTTTTTTTAAACTACTATGATTAACAGAACGATATTTACAGTTTCAGGTCAGAGACTGAGAGTTCTGATTTGTATATGCTTACCATTCCTAACTCTCTGAACATTATGAGCTATAAGAAATCGTTCCACCCAACTATCCATGCTTTGCAAAACCCAAGAATGAGCTATTTTATTTCTGGGAACTTGAAGTGTCAGCCATTCCATACATTGTTGAGGGCAGTATTCAGCAGCCTATGAAGTAATGAGACATGAAGCAACAATTTTCATGACATAAATATACTGAATTTTTACACAGGAATAGATCATATTTTAATGAGATCTTTAAAATATATGTTTAGAAATATAATATCTGAATCTAAACTATGCCATTTACAATTTTTTTTTATACATTGATATAATAAATTTTGTTTTACATAGATATACTGGTAATGTATCTACCACTTTCAATTAATTCTTTCTTAGATGGTACAACTAAAATGTTATTTTTAAATGTGAAAATAAATACAGAATAACTCAAAATACATAAATAAAAATTATTCCATTAACTAATAAATTATTAAATTTTAATTCCTTCTAATTTCACAAAACAAAGGGGTGAGGTTAGAATAGCTCACTCATAGATTTAAGAGCTGTTTTTATGTGTTATTATATACTTAATCATTATAAACAATTTAGAACACATAAATGATATTGACTGCATTAATTAATAAACCATTAATAAATGCATAATTGTTTTAATTACCATTACATTTAAATTCCTTCCAATTTTACAAAAAGGGGTGGGGCAGGCAAGGCCCTATTAGGGTATTTTCACAAGTCAAACTACATTTTAATTATTACAATTAATTAAGAATACATAAAAGAAATTTGATTCCACTAATTAATTTTATTATCCATTCAATTTTTAGATAATTCCATTAAATTTAAATTTCAGTAGTTTCATAAAACCAAAAATTATACAGCTTTCATATTGAATATGCAATAAAATGGTAGGAAAAAGAAATGATGAAAACAACAATTTTAGTAGCACTATCTAAAAAATAAATAGCTAACCAAAAGGGGTAGTTTCATATACTAACATCCTTACCAATCCATTTTTGCATTATGCAAAACAGAAAAATAATACAGACTTAAATTCCCATAATTATTTTGTTCTATTAACCAGCTGAATATTTTATAATTGTATAACTCTTTTTGTAGCAAAAATAAATAAATAATAAAAATTTAACAAAAACGTCTTTTTTCCTTTTAAGATTGCATACAAAAATTAGAATTAAAAAAACCTGATTTAACTAACTAAAGTTATAAACTCCAAATAAAAGCCTCATTAAATATTAAATAACCCAAGTATAAAAATGCTAAAAGTAAAAAATTTCATTCATTTTTATAGCTTATTTATGCATGAAATTATACAATCACAATATTTCACGAAACATTTAATAATACTTGATTCTTAAAAAAAAAAAATAAATAAATAAAAAATAAATAAAAAATAACACCACCAATGTTTTTGATCAGAAATCAAGAAATTGAAAAGCAATAAAAATTTAGTTGTAGTTTCACAACAGATGGACATTCAAAACAATCTTAACAATAATTAGCACAAAATAATAATTACAAACATATACTTATCACAAATGAAAATGAATTAAATATACCATAAATTTACATAAAATTGATAACTAAGAAATAACGTACAACAAGCACAATATAACTTACTTCCCATATCCTTTGCAATATAAGATTTGTAAAGGATGGTAAACCAGGGGGGCCACTAACAAATTCCACAAGCATAGACAATAATTTAAAGAAAGGAGCACTCATCTAAATAAAGAAATATCCATTAGAAATACTGTAAAGAACAATTAATTTGAAGTATAAATGGGGTTTCAGTATTATATTATCATACAACAAAAAACAGAGAAATTTCAGTTATTTTTTTGGGTCACCTATGACAATTTATAAGACTAAGTTAACATTTTACTCTAAGGAATACTTTGCTAAAATATATAACATTTATAACTGAAAATACACAGGAAAATTACTTACTTCATGTTGCTTTGTAATAGCTGTAAACATCATATTTATGATCTAAAATAAAATTAATTTTTTAATACACACAAAACAAAAGTATGCAATATTGAGCAACAGTAATATTTCATACAAGTAGACGTATAAACGCAAAATAATGAAATCAATTCTACTTCGCTTAAAAAATGATTTCAAATGTATTTACCATCACAGCTAGAGCATCATTCCAACGACACAAACTGAAGATAAGATTACAAGTTTGCCTCAAATTGATTCCATCTCTGATTTGTTGATAAAGAAAAGGAAATCCCTATAAACGAGTTTTAAATATTAATATAACAAATTACAAAGTTAAAAAAAATTAAAATGATAAAAATTTAATAGAAACAACACATAATGCAGATATAGCATCCTAAATAGTTATGAATACTTACAAATATATTTTCATTCCCAAATTATATTTGCAATATAAAGAACTTCAAATCACCACATTAAAATATATGACATTCATTATAAAAACTGCTTATTATAGTGACTATTACATTAAAATATTTGATGCAAAACAAACTGAACTAATGACAATACATTAACTCCACTTTTATTATAGTGACTATTTATTATAACATTTTTAAGAAAGAAAAGTTTCATTATAACCAGCACTTATACATGCAGAAGAATTCTGATAATTTCCACAACTTCGGATTAGATTGAGTTTTTTAGATTATGGCAATTGAGGGCTATCTAATGGAAGGGATGCCTTCATGCAGGATTTGAGAGTTCCAGGACAAGGGCTGCTATACTTTTAACACAGCCCTGTTGGTATTCTTAAAATTTTACCTACTAGACAAAAGTTTGAAGATGTTATGGCATTATATATATTCAAAATCAGGCTAAATTTAGTTTGAGACCCATGTTTTGTAAGATATATTTATGGCAATAAAATCCTCAAATACAATATAATGAAATTCTAAACTAAATATTTAGCAATCTGTCACAGAAAAGCAAGAAATGAGCAGCTGATTAGCATTACTAATGCAATTATTTTTTTAAAATTATAAATATCTGAAAAATAAGATTATTTTATCTTCATATCATAAGTAAAACATCTGAATTTATCAATTTAACAAAATAATCTAAAAGGGGAATAGTAATGTTTATAAAGTAAATTTTGATAGAATGTTTGAATTTTTCTACAGCAGACCTATTTTAAAATGCAATTCACAGACTATGACAGATTTTTTAACACACATTTGTAATGTTTTTAAATGTTAGGTCTAGCAAAATAAAATTAAAAAAGAAAATTTTTGTACTCTTTTTTAAGTATTTGCATTTAGTTATATTAATGTACCTTTCCTCCAGCAACAGCATTAAAATCATTATGAGACAATTGCAATCGTTCTTCATCACGAGACTTTTCAACTAAGAGTGCTATGAGAGTGATCATTTTTTCTAAGGATGCAGGTTTGTATTTATCATCAACTGATGATACAACTTCATCATCTTCATCCTCTTCTTCATCAGACAGCACCTCGACCTAAAAAAATTCCACAATAAAGTTTAAATCACAGTTTATGAATAATATTAAGATGAAACTACCAATAATCAATATAATTTTCCCACCTGTCTGCACAATTTTCTTAAAATTTTAATAATGGAAATATTCATAAAGTGAACATGCATTTTTAATTAAAATCTAATTGAAAATATAGCAATGATGATAATTGCATTATCCATTTCGATATATAACACTATGAATACGTGATTCAAATCCTTTGATACTTTGCCTTATAAGGCAGCTACAAATAATAGTTCCAACCGATCTAGGTGTGTTCAACAAAAAATAGCTTTATGCACAGTTCAACATAGCTGGCACATTAGAAATGTGCATTTAATGTTCTGGGATTGTTTTTGGCAATTTCTTTCAATGGGGTTATGTGAAAAATATGTGTTTCCATTACCAAAAACAATTCGAGAATTCAAAATGTGCATTTCTAATATGCTTGCGTTGGTGACTTCAGATATGGTTGAAAATGTATTTCGTGAAATGGACTACCACTTTGATGTCTGTGTTACCA